GCTCAAAATATTTACTTTTAAAAATATACACATCAATTTTATTGAGATATAAATAACACACCATAAAATTCACTCATTTAAAGTGTACAAGTCAATGGTTTTTAGTAAATTCAGTGTGGTGCAACCATCACCACCATCATTTTTAGAACATTTCATCACCCCCAAAAGAAACCCCATCCCCATTGCTCCCCAGCCCCAGCCCAACCCCTGGCAACCACCAACCTACCTTCCATCTCTGTCGATTGGTCATCCTGGACATTTCACATAAATGGAGTCATGCAACTTGTGGCTTTGGTGACTGACTTCTTTCACTTAGCATAACGTTTTCAAGCTTCATCCATCTTGTAGCATCAGTACTCCATCCCTTTCATTGACAAATAGCATTCCATCGTATGAACATGCTGTACCACGTTTTGTTTATCCATTCGTCAGTTGATGGGCATTTGCATGGTTCCCACTTTTGTGCTATTCAATATCAATTTTTGAGTGAATGGTTGTATTAATTCTGATATGGAACCGACCTTTCTGCTTTAGGGGTATTAAAGCTCCTTTCATAGATTGATGGTGGAAGTAAACAACACATGTATTTCTTAATGTCCTTACCTGGAGTCTTTCTTTCGACTTCAAAGGTACAGAGGTATCAATGGCTGAAATGCTGAAGCTGCAGACCCCTGATATAAAGTCAGTGGCTCAAGGAGACCAAGCGTTGCCTCTCTGGCCCTGTATGTGGCTCAGATGATGACTGGTAAACAGGAGAGGATAACGCAACACTTCTCTAGCTGGGGTATGGTCCCCTCTGGGGGCACATATTTGTCTCCTGGAGAGAAAGACTACATTTCCCAGCTTCCTAGGCAGCAAGGAGCGTTATATAACTAAGTTCTGACAAATGGGATGGAAGCAGGAGATTTTTCTCTTCTTGGCTCCTCCTTGCTTTCTAATAGCTGGAATGTGAACCAAATGGCTGGAGCAAAAGCAGCCATACTGGACCCTGAGGTGGAAACCACCAGTTACAGATGCTGGAGGGACAGAAGGAAGGGGCTTGGTGATTGTGGAGATGCCATACCACCTCTGGTCTCCTGTACCTGCATGAGAAAGACAGGGCTGGTGTGTGTGTGTGATGCAACGTTTTAATGTGCAAAATGTTGCAGTGTTCCTCTGAGATGTCTGTCACTCACAGGCAAACCCAATCCCACCGAACGCACTTCCATGACCCCCTTGCAGATGAGGAAGCAGCTGTGGGGGACGTTTGCCTCTGCAGGTTATTTTTACTCAAAGATTTCTTTTTTAACTTGTTATATTCTTTTCTTTTCTTTTTTTTAAAGACTGGCACCTGAGCTAACAACTATTGCCAATCTTCTTTTTTTTTTTTCTTCTTCTTCTCCCCAAAGCCCCCCAGTACACAGTTGCATATTCTACTTGTGGACCCTTCTGGCTGTGCTATGTGGGACACGGTCTCAGCATGGCCTGACAAGCGGTGCTAGGTCCATGCCCAATATCTGAACTGCCGAAACCCTGGGCCGCTGAATCGGAGCACGCGAGCTCCACCACTTGGCCACAGGGCTGGCCCCCTTACTCAAAGATTTGAGAGAAAAAATAATTTTCCCTTTTTAAATTTTTCCCAAAGCTAATTTAACTTATTTCACCCCTTCTTTTCTATATTAAAACAAATGCATACATTGTGGGGAAGGATAGAGAATGTCCAGTGAATTCTGAAGAGACCTTTCTGCTTGTCTTCCTTCGGGCTGTGAGCCTCCACCCCAAGGTCCTCTAGGGGGCCCGGTCTCTCTTCTGCCATCAGGAGGGTCGATGGACAGAGTCCCCGGAGGGAGAGAGGCATGCACTTGAATCCTGCATCCGCTACTCCTTAACCACATGACCCTGGGCAAGCCACTTCCCCTCTCTGACCCTCAGTTCCTTCCTCTGTCAAAACGGACACAATAATAGATGCCTTGGTGGGTGGCTGGAGGTGGGACTTGATTCTGTCGATGAAAGGCCCGCCCCAGAGCTGGACACACAGCAGGTGCTCTGGGCTCCCTGCACGGGCTCTAACCTTGTCGCTCTAGACACAGCCGAGTCTCGGTCTGAATCACTCAGAGCCAGCTCCACAAACAGGGATACTTTAATGCACTTCGGCACGTTTCCACTCAACAATATCATATGAAAATAGAACTCTTTATTAAAACAGCGAGGCATGACAACCACGGCTCCTCACGAAACACTCTGTTCATAAAAAAAATCGCTAAAATCAGTGACTTTGGGTAAGACACTTCAGCTCTCAGAGCCTGTTTCTCCATCTGGAGAATGAGCAGGTGGGACATCACCAACCCACGGTGGGTGGGGCCCACTGGTGGCAGGAGGCGACCCCAGGTGGCACGGGGACCAGGTGTAATGCACGGTTGACCCTGCAGTGAGCAGCTCACTCCTTCTCGTCCCTTCCGCCCCGTGGTCGTCAAGGAGGAAGTCTCAGGGTGGGGCTGGCGTGGCTTTAGCGCTCTCGAACACTGGCTCGTCTCATTTTGTAACAGAGCAGAGACAGACCTCAGGCCTTGGCGACACCCGCGTGGAGGCGCCCTGCCCAGCGGATTTATTTTTCAGTCACTTTCTATTTTGGGCAGTGAGGGACACATGTTGTCCATTACCACAACGATCGAAAAAAGCTCCCTTTTTAAACAAACTTAAGTTCAAAAACAAGAGTCAGTTTAAAGGAAAACGTCTGGGAAACAACAATACAAAAAACAGTAAAAAAATAATAATAATGAAGATGGCAAGGAAACGCTTCTTTAGGGCACCCCAGGAGCATTTCTCACATATGTCCCGCAATTTTGTGATTCTAAAGCAAGGTCCGAAGAAATACAATGACATCCAGGTCCTTTCATAACTAACCTACCAAACAGCTAAGCCACTCATCTCTCTTTCTTTTCCCTATTGCTTATATTTTTTAAAAGAAGAAGAAAGAAGAAAAATAATAAAGATTAAAATAAGGAGGGTTTGCATCATTGTCTCCCAAGCTGTCCTTCAATATCTCCGGCACCAGCTGGAGCCGCCCGGTGGGAGAATCGTCTCTTCCCACGATTGTGGCTCCAGGGAGGTGCCACCTTTAAAGGAAATTGGCCCATTTTTGAACACAGGTGAGAATCTAGTCTCGGTGGCAAAGTGGCCCTGATCTGGAAGAAGGGAATCATAAGGGTTTTTCCCTAGCACGCCAGGGCAGCAGCCACGCACAAGAGATTTCCTGCAGCTATGTCTGCTGCCTTCTTCCTCCCCTTCCCAGCCAGGCCGAGGCAGCTGAGGGTTGCCATGGCAACCGGCTCCGTCCTCCCACAGGAGGCTGCCAGCCCTGATTTCCTGCAGAGTTAAGCAGCAGGCGGCAGCGGGGGTCACCCAGGCGTGAAGATGGGTTTCCCTGGGGATATCCTGCCTCCTGCCAATCCCAGTGTCTGTCCGGGAATCCTGGGGGTGCCTGGAGGCTGAGGGCCAGGGAAGCCCCCAGGCCCTGGCACTGCTCCCAGAAGAGACTAGCCCCTGAGACATTCAGAGATCTCAGGCTCTCTTTTCTCCCTCCCGCTAAAGCTACAGGGACTTAACTATGTGTGTGTCTGTGGTGTCTCATGAGATACAACCACCCATGGCTGCCTCTGGCTCTGTCAGCTCTCCAACGCCACACACAACTGCCCCTCCGCCATCCCCTTGAGCCCAAGGAATGCAGAGCTGCCCATCCAGCATTTGCTACTGGGACAATAAGTCTTTGTGGAATTCTGCCAGCTTACAAGCTGTGTGACCCTGGACAGGTCACTTCACCTCTCTGAGCCCGTTTCCTTATCCATAAAGAGGACATAACCATCCTGTCTTCACAGACATGCTGTGAGAAGCGGAAAAACTATGTCTACTGTGCCTGTCACACGCATTTAGCAGGTCCTCAATAAACAGGACCTAATATTAATGATAATACTACCATCATAATAAATGTTTCTGGGCAATTTTTCACTTTGAGCTGTTTTGTTGTGTTTCTGTCTTTGTTTTTGTTTTCTAAAGCTGATGAAAAAACTAGTTTTCATCATTGATTTGTCTGTTCAAAGGGTGGCACACCCAGGAGATGATGGACCCTCGGTCTGAAGACCGATTAGCAGGTTCCCACCACTTCCGACAATATCACCTCTCAGAGTCAGAACCGAGTTTTCAAGCTCGAACGCCTTCAGGGGACAGGAGGTAGTGTGAATGGAGAAGCAGACCAAGCAGGAACCCTGGGGAGCCAGAAGGCACAGGCCCTGGATGAGAGAGGCGGCTTCTTCTCCGCTCTGGCCAATGGCTGCCCTTGGAAATAGGGGCCCCGAGTGGCCAGATCTCCTACGTTTTCAAGAGAAACTGGACATTTTGAATCAACTCTCCCAAAGATGATAGGGTAACAACTAATGTGTTTTTTTTAAGTGTAGGCCAAACAAATGACATCTGCGGACTGGGTTGTGCCTCCAGCAGGAGCTTCTGAGCGAGAATGGAGGAGACCAACACTTATTTTTGGCTTGACCCGTCTAAGGAGGCCCGGCTGCTCCCCTTCCATCAGGGCTGTGTCCTTCTCATTCCCGCCCTGAGTCTCGGTGCCGGGAGAGCACTCACCTGGAGCCCGCGGCTCTGGAGCAGAGAACTCTCCTCCTCAGAGCCCAGTGTCTTTAGGGTGCTCACCATCTGCGCCCTGGAGGCACCAGCCTCAGGCGAACCTTCCTGCATTTTCTCACATATCAGCGTGAACGCAGGGACGAAGCGGCCAGTGCACAGGGCACCCAGGAAAGCAGGTACCTAAGGGACTCCTTTGGCTTTAGGTAGCTTAATAGTAATTTGGGGACAGAGCTTATTTCAAGGGACACTGCTGGATCGTGGTTGGCCTTTTTATGGCCAGCATCTGCTTCGCTTGGTTACAGCCTGGACCACACCATGGTCACGGACTTGTACAGTGGCCCCTCCGGGAGGTGGGGGCCCAGCAGTGAGGTCTCCTACTTCTGCTCTGTCTGCCGCGGCTTTTGTGGATATCATGAGAGGAGCAAGGGGAGCTGGGGGCAGAAAGAGTCTCATTTTGGCACCAAGCCTCTGCAGCAGAGGCTCCATAGAGATCTGGGGTCTTGCTTAGTTCGCCTTCTCTCTGCTTCCTTTCCCTCCCCTCCCCCGGACACAGCCTTCTGGGGAAAAAGCAGGAGAGTAGTAATGCAGGCCGTGTTCCTTCACAGCTCTGCAACCAGGCCGAATGCGGACACGGGAAGCGGGCGATGCGATGCGGGGCGGGCTGGGCGAGGCGAGTGAGCAGGGCCGCGGGCCTCACGGGCGGAGGCGGTAGCGGATGGGCACGTCGCGCTCAGGCTGCATCAGACCGAAGCCGTACCTGCTGAGGTCGAACTCGGGGATCTCGGCGTCGGGGCTCGTCAGCTCCAGGTCACAGCGCGTCAGCACAAGGAACACGAATCTGCAGAGAGATGGCGGTGAAAGTGGGAGGGAGAGCCGGGGCTTGTCCAGAGTCAGGCAGGAAAGTGACGGCTCCCTCCTGAGTCCGGCTCCAACTCCGACTTTGGGAAAAGGAGAGTGAGAGAGCAGAGTGGGAAGTCCACCAGCCCCTCCACATCGGCTGCCCCTCAGGGTGAGGCAGGCCCACTGGCCGGTTCTGGCTGACGGTCATGGGCAGAAGTGACGAGGGTCACTGCCACCCCAAAGCATTTCAGAGCCAGTGAAATGGCTCCAGCTTTCTCTCCTGCCTGACAGATGTGTGGGCCTCATGTGGAGGTGGCAGAGCTGGAAGGTGGAAAGAGCCTGGGCCAGGAGTCTCTTCACGGAGAGGAGGAGCCCCCAGAACCCACAGCCGACTTCGTGAGTGGGAATTGTTCCTTTGTCTTACAAGCCACTGAGACTGGGGGTCATTTGTTACAGCAGCATAGCCTCCCTGCTCCTAATTAACATGGACAGTGACCCTTCCTGACTCCCCGGACCATATGCATCCCCCACCCCGACCCCAGCCTCCTGGAACACTTACTGTCTGCCCTGGTCAGGGCTGCCGGACCACAGGCTGCCTATGCGAGATGAGAAGCAGGCACCACCCCCACCCCCAAGACATTTTACTGCCCTCTGTGGGGGAAAACTGTTATAATATGCAGACTTTGCCAGAACAAGCACTCTTCACTGCCATCTTCTGGAAAGCTGATCTAATAAGCGTGCAAACCACGTGCATGACGTGGTCAGTGTGCCTGTAAGTGCAGTGGCAGCCTCCCTGACGTTGACTGGTGCCTGCCCAGCTTCCTGGTCTTACGTGCCACCACCTGTGTCAATAAGGGTCAGGGCTGCATCTTCTGCTGTGTCCCACCAGCCTCCCCCGCCGTGAACCAGGTGCCCAACGCGGGACCGACCCAGGGCAGGGCGTCTTTGATCTCACCAAAGGAGTGAAGAAGAGGCAAGACAGGATGGATGGAAGCCCGCGCCCAGGACAGGAGAGCTGGGCGCACAGTGGGGCTCTGCCTCTTAAGGGCGTGGCACCCTCGTCAAGTTTCTTTCCCAGTCTGGGCCTCAGTTTCCCCATCTAGTCAAACAGGGTCAAAGAGGTGGGATGGATCCCTTCCAGCTCTGAAGCTGTAGGATACTGGAGGGTGGGTTTCTGTAGGTGGGGGTTGTGTGCCCACTCCTGGATTTGGATCCTGGCACGTCCGTTACCGGTGCACGACCATGGCAACGACCGACCTCTCTGGAGTCAGGGTTAGACCGACACTCGCCTAGCAGGGTTGCCGTGACGATCAAGTGAGATGAAAATAATCACAAATGAGCTAACTTATTGAGTGTGCCAGACACTGCGCTAAGCCTTTAGGGTCCACTATCTCTTTATCTGTCCCCAGACTTCACGAGGCAGGAAGTGCAGTTGGTTCTGCTGTAACCCCAGTTTTGGACATGTGAGTCTGTCCCAACGTGATTGAAACACCAGGGCACAAACGAAGCGTAAAGCAAATTTCACATTAGCTTGTATGTCGTTTCATCTGCAAGAACAGGAGGAGAATGCCAACACCTGCACCCAGCGCAGCCAAGCTGAGCGGGAATTCACGGGACGCATGCGCGGACACTAACTATCCACCGGCAACCTCAGCTCGTAGGGGAGGCCGGGGGGACCCGGGTTTCAGACAACTGTGCTTCCAGCTTCACAGGACCTCGCCGCTGCAGCCCACCCGCGGCCCACTGCCATGCGCTAACTTCAGGTCCTTCTCAAAGTGAAGCCCCACGTTGATTGCAGCACTTAGGGATTTCGTAACCATGTAGTGTGCGTACACCTGTTAAATATTCTTTCCACACAGGGCTGGCCCCGTGGCCGAGTGGTTAAGTTCGCGCGCTCCGCTGCAGGCGGCCCAGTGTTTCGTTAGTTCGAATCCTGGGCGTGGACATGGCACTGCTCATCAAGCCACGCTGAGGCAGCGTCCCACATGCCACAACTAGAAGGACCCACAACGAAGAATACACAACTATGTATCGGGGGGCTTTGGGGAGAAAAAGGAAAAAATAAAATCTCTAAAAAAAAAAATATTCTTTCCATAAGTTCTTCTCCTTTTTTATGTCACTGATGAGGTTTTTGACTGTGAGGCCCCAGCCGCACTCTTCCCACCATCCCTGTGGTTTTTACCGTGTGATTTTGCAAGGCCGGTGATTTTCAGGGGCGCACAGGAGGCGTCAGAGCAGAACCGACTGCGTTCTCAGCTCCATTTACTGCTGAGAACTCGAGGCCAGAAGGTTAAGGTCATGCGCCCACTCACGTAGCACGATGGCTGACATTAACGATGGTGATATCGGTAATGACGAGAGTCACCAACATGGATGAAGTGCCTCCAACGAGCCAGGCTCTGGGTGAAGCACTTAGATCCGGTTCCTCTGTCCCGACCCCCCTGGGATGTAGAACGATCAGAACCCCCACTTTACAGTTGGAGAAACAGAAGCACAGAAGGCCATGCAGCTTATGATCACACAAGGGCCGGACAGGACACAGCAGATGCCATAATCCCTGGTCCAATCTGTTTGTCATCTGGGGCCAAGTCTCTGAGGGTCCAGGGAACAGGATTTATGCCCACGGGCGTTAAAATAACCAGGAGGGAACAACGACCCTTGGCCGGTCCCTGCCGAGGGGTTCTGAGCCTGCGGGCAGCCACAGACAGCCACGGCCAGCTGCTCGCGCGTCCAGTGTTCGGTATCTGAGTGTCTGGTTGTCGGGACACCAGGCTTGCAGAGAAAACTTGTTGCTGGATCTGATTATTTCAAAAGCGATCAGAAATCTGGCTTTTCAAGGGAGCTCTTCTGAGTCTTAAAAGTTAGCACACATTTTTAAAAACACAAATAAATAGATGTGTGGGCAGGAAACAGCTCACCGGCTATTCGTCTGGAGCCTCTGTCCTAAACCATTCTCCTGGAGAGGAGGACGGGAGCCAGCCAGCTGGAGCAGAAGCGCCCCCCACCCCGCCCCACACTCACTGTTTGATGCTGCTGGTGGCGTAGGCCCTGCCCAGGCACTGGTTGTGCCCCGCCCCCCACGGCACGCTGTAATTCTTCAGTCGCTTCCCGTCCTTGTAAAAGTCCTTCTTCTCGGTTCCATCAGGGTTCAGGAATCGGTTGTACTGAAATACCTGAAACAGGAAGAAGGCCCTTTTCTGACTCCGTCTCCACAAACGCGTGCACCAAGGAAGACGCACGAGGATGTCCGTCACAGTCTCGTTTATCAGAGGGAAGAACTGGAAACACTGTAAAGGCCAACTGAGAGGGGACGGGTTACAAGATTGTGTCAGCTAATTAAAAGGCTGAGCTTGGTCTCTGTGTGCTGACATGGAAAGAATTTTTAGCACTGGTTGTTGAGTGGAAAAAGCAAGTTTTGGAATAGCATGTATTGTATGATCCTATACACACACGTATGTGTGTGAGCATGTTGTGTGTGTCTGTAAAGGTGTAAAAATAATTTAAAGGATGTACTCCAAACCATTGTTAGGGAACTGGAAAGGAAGGGAAATGAAGAAAACTTTTTGGTTTTAAATATGTCCATATATTTCTATTTTACAAGTATATATTACTTTTGAAATTTAGAATAAAAGAAATTAAAATTACTTTAAAAAAAGAGAATGTCAATTTCCTTGGGTTCCATCATAGAGCGGTCATGTAAGGATTGTAGCTGAGCACAGGGCTGGGCAAGGAGTAGGTGCTGAATGAAAGATGGGCGGAAAGGTAGGTGAATGGACCAGTGAATAGAACAGTGAATAAATTAATAGGTGGAAGGGTGATCTGATGGATTGATGGATAGACTGATGGATAGATAGGTGGGTGGATGGGTGGATGGATAGGTGGATGGGTGGATGGATGGGTGGATGGACAAGTGGACGGGTGGGTGCATGGGTGGGTGGCTGGATGGACAGGTGGATGGATGGATGGGTGGATGAGTGGGTGTGTGGATAGGTGGACGGATGGGTGGATGGATGAGTGGATGGGTACATGGGTGGGTGGATGTATGGATTAATGGATGCGTGGATGGATGAATAGATAAATACGTAGATGGATGGATGGGTGGGTGGGTGGGTGGATGGATGGATGGATGGATGGATGAGCGTATGGCACAGGGCCTGGCACACAGTAAGCAGCCAAATCTGTTAGCAATTGTGAAAGTCTGTCCCAACTTGAAGCCCAGGGAAAGGAAAAAGTGTTGAGAAACTGAAATTATAACATTCCAAAAAAAGGAAACTCACTCAGGTATCACTTAACAAAGCACTCAGTGTGTGCCAGGCAGTGCGAAAGCCTTTCTTCCATGATCTCATTTAATGCTCCTGACAACCCTGTGAGGCAGGTGCTATTATGAGGTCCATTTCACAGGCGAAGAAACAGTGACACAGAGAGGTGAAGAAATCTGGGCAAGGTCACACAGCAAACAAAGGGCAGAATTGGGCTGCCACTCAGATCTCACTGATCCCAAAACCACTGATCTTCTCCCACGGTCCTTGGTATGCCATTTACCTCTGGGTCTGTGTAGACTTCCGGGTCCTTCTGCGGACTCAGGAAAGGAAAGAGGAGGAGGCGGTCACCACGTCGCAGGGTGAATTCCCGCCCGTCCGCCATGGGCAGGGCCAGGTCCACCATGACCTCGCGAGTGATGAAGGGTGCAGCTGTGAGCCTGAGGGTCTCGCTCAGCACGCTGTCTGCAAGGGACAGCAACAGTGAAGGGTCAGCAGCTGTCCTCTCACTCACTCGAATGCCACCCCAGCCGTCAGTTTGCAGAGAAAGGTGGGGAAGCTCAGACACGGTGCACGACTTGCCCACTGTCACACAGTGAAGTCAAAAAAGGCCAAGTGATAAGATGTGATTGCTACAGTCCTTCAGAGACCTCGGACATGAGGCTTTGCGTCTGACCCCCAAGAAGAGCTGTCAGGGAAGGTGGGAGCTAGGGAGATACCAGAGAAGGCTAGGGAGAGAGCAGGGCCATCAATACTGGTTGTTTCTGCCTGCCCAGCCTACATTCCCCTTCTGGAAACAGCTCCCTGATTTTTCTCTGGGGACCAGTACTCTCCCACTTTCAGGGGTTGGGCTGTTGATTCCACTCCCAACTCCTGGGATTGGCCAATCAGACATCCCAACTCTCTGAATCCCATGATTGGTTCAAGATGGACATATGACCCAAAAGAGCCAATGAGACACATTCCTGGGACTTCGGGTAGGAATGTTGCAGAGAAGCACACCCTCACAGGGCCAAGAACACATCAGCCTGGGGCCATCTTGTCAGCCTGAGACTGGAGCCAACCCAGCAAAAAATGGGGCTGAGAGATGGAGAGAGACTGAGTCCTAATGACATTGCTAAAGCACCTGGATCCATCCATGCCTGAAGCCAGATACCTTTGGACTTTTCAGTTACATGCTCCAAATAAAGTCCCTTTTCTGCTTCAGCCAGTTTAAGTTTTCTGGCACTTGTAACCAGAAATCTCCTACTGAGACCATGAGCCTCAGGCAGCTGAGACCAGGGCATGGAGATGCCACATCTAAGATAGGAGGCCCAGAGGGACCCTAGGTCAGAGGACACTGATGGACCCCGGGTGATGGGAGCCCATGCTGGGGAGGGCTTAGGGGGCCCATGATGACCCAGTCTTTGGGGCTATCCTGGAGGGTCTGGCCATCTCACCAAGCACAGGCATGCTGTCTAAAACCTTCTGTGGGAGGGTGGTCATCTGCGAGACAGGCTGCTCTGCTTGCAAAAGGATCTGCTCAAGCTCTCCACGGACGGCAGCCAGGGCCTCAGGATTCTTGAGAAGGAAGAGCAGGAGCCAGAAGGCAGCAGGACCCATGTTCCCCTGCAACGAGAAGGAGTCCCCGTGGTACCATCAGGAGAGCACACCTGGGGGGAGGGCGGGCCGGTCTGTGCCACAGACACAGTCCTGGCCAAGGCACAGGGGTCAGTAGGTTCTCACCCCTGCCAGGCATCGAGGCATGACTCACGTCCATCTTCAGTCTCAGGACATGGCCAAAATATGCTGCATGGCTTTGGTGCAGCCCAGTGCCTACTTCAAGGTCATTCTTGGCATCCCTGACCTTGAGCAAAATCACTGATCTGAGATCACATAGGTGATCTTCATAGCCAATCAGCAAAAAAGTGTCAGTAATAGGAATGAAGCGTGTCAATTCAGATTACAGTTAACATCTGAGGATGACTGCCCTCCCCCAAATCCTGCTCCCACGCCCCTCGCCGCGTGACTGCGCTTCTTCCTCCCATTAAAGAGGCAGAGGGTATTTCTCTGGCCCCTGAATTTGGGCTCAGCCATGTGACTTGCTTTGGCCAACAGCACGAGGCAGAACTGACAGAACAGAACGGCGGTTCCAAGTCTAGGCCTTGAGAGACCGTGTGTATTTCTGCTCACCGGCTCGCCTGCTGGTCCCCAGAGGAGGAACAGAGACACAGAGCAGAGCTGGCTGTCCAGCTGAGCCCAGCGAGACCAGGGGACTCCCGGTGGACCCACAGACACGTGAGTTAGGTAAACGCTCATCAGTGGACGGCACTGGGTTTTTGTGGTTGTTTGTTACACAACAATAGCGAACTGATACAGTATCTGAATATTTGCTTTCAAATCTTTGAGGATTGTCTACGTATAAAGAAAGCAGCAACAGTCGATGATGACCGTGAAAGCTGTGGATTTCTTGAAGAAAAATTATTTAAAACTTCCCAATAGTTAAATAATTAGGAAAATTGATGGAATGTCTTGCTCCAAGACGTCAGCCTTAGCTGAACAATTAACAGTCAGGGATCCAGCATGTGGCTACAATGCGCACAGGGCAGCCTTAAACGAGACGTGGGCAAATACCACCTCACCTCAGTTTGGAGAAGATTCGTGTCTACCATAAATGACCATCCTACCCAATCATAATACTGAAATAGTAAATAGTCATAAATACCATGTTTCCCTAGTAATTCTATTCCAGACATAATTGCACAGAGAAAAACACATTTGCCCAACGATACTTATAGCAGTGCTGATCTAACAGTGACAGATCGGAAGCATCCTCAATGTCTATCAATAGGAGATCAATGAGATCAATGACGATCCAGCCATCAGGAGACGGTACAGGAAGTCATTACAAAGCAGCTGGCTCTGTGCGCACTGACGTGAGACTATAGCCAAGACACAAGGGAGCACGCAGACGGCAAGATGCAGAATGGGGGCTCAGCGTGCTTCCACGGTGCGGATGTTCAAGGAGGGACAGAGATGAAGAAGCAGAGACGACCTCTAGGAGACACAAGAAACCGGCGACCGAGGCTGCCTCTGAGACAGAAGCTGCGAGGATGGGAGGACAGGGCGGGGAGACTGGCTTTTCACTGCATATGTCCTTTTAAAGTGTTTGAATTTTCTAAATCAATGCACTACTTTTAAGTGGAATGAAAGTGAATGATTTTTAGAGGGTTCTGCAATGACACAGAGAAATGCTGATGATACAATATTAAGTAAAATTAAAGTTGAATTTAAAAAAAACTGCATGATCTTAACCACAGAAGAAAAACATATGGAAAAAGGCAGTAAAGAAATGCCCCAAAGCCTCAAGGATGGTGAAACGGGTTTTCCCTCTTTCTTTTTCTTTTGCTACCGTGATGAAGTCAGAGCTAAGGAGGTGCCACGGTCGCCGGCTCAGTCTTCCTGTGGAGCAGGCACCACTGCCACGCCCGTCACTGAAAAGGGGCACTCAGCACTCCCTGGTCCCTCCCCACCGCCCAGCACACAGCGGGAGCTCAGTGGTGTGTGTCAGGTGGGCCAGGGCCTCCAAGGCAGCCTGGGAGGTGGGCTGGGACCAGGCAGAGCTGGGCTCAAATCCCAGCTCCCCGCACCCTGTGACTCTGGACAATCACCCCCAACTCTGGGTCTCAGAACCTCCCTCTTGGTAAAATGAGGATAACAATATGCCCACTCCAGGGGCCGCCACACGGTCGCTGAGACTGAATGCAGGTGACCCCCACGGTGGGCACAGAGTGGGTGCTCAGAAGTGGTTTCCTCCTCCCACCGGCCCCTCCCCAGGGTTTGAGAACAAGTGGGGGCCTCGGATGCTCTCTGAGATTTCCTCCATCACCCCAGGTCCGGCCGAGACCAGCAAGGTCACTTGTTGTCTATCACTTAAATAGCCAGGGGAATGTAGGCGATAGATAACACAGCTTTGGGTTAACTCAGCGCCAAGGCCATTGTATCTTGCCGGGAGAGTCAGGTGGGGGCCCCCGCTCACTAATTACAAAGCAGGAGTGGAACACGAGGCTGCTTGCTTAGCCCCTCTTTCAGAAAAAAGCTGTGGCAAGTTAGGGAGGTGACAAAGACCACCTTCCACTCACAGATGTGTGAGTGTGTGTGCGTGTGCACGTGCACGTGTGCTCACACAACCATAAGAGATTCTGAATTCGCTATCCTGGAAGTCGAGCTTTCTCCCATGGGGTCTTGCCTCAGTTTACCCAGGAGGACATTTCCGATCTAACCTCATTTTCTCCCACTGCAGTGAAGCCAGTCGCCTGGTCCACCACCCGAGTGCAGCGCCCATCCTGTGCATGGCGGAGCTGACCTCCAGGGGCGCTCTGTGCCAGGCGCTGCGCTGGGCGACTCCCGCGCGCCCTCATGTGGCCTCCTCGCGGCACTGTCAGTCGGGGGAGCGGGGGACACCTGCCGCCCTGCCGGCCCACATCCGCTCCTTCGCCCTGTCTGCCTTCGGAGAGCCACCTTCCTTCACTCCAAGTCCGCGTAGATCATCGGGGCTGACCCGCCCCCGCCAGACCGCAGGGGTGGCCACGTGCCCCAGGCCGGCCACTCCGCCAGCGATGGACTCAGGGGACGCGGGGCCCTGGGCTGGGCCAATGAGTGTCAGACTCAGCGTTTGTCCTAGAATTCATGGGAAACAGAAGCCCTCCTCCAAGGGGACTGCCAGATGGCCAGGGGCAGCTGGTGGCAGTCACTGCCGCCACGTGGGGGAGCCCATCCGAGGCTGGGGCCACCAGAGAAGAGAGCGGAGCGAGGGACAGGAGATCACGGATTATATTTCTTTTCATTTTCTTGTGATTAAAAAATACATTTTTAAGGGGATTAAAAAAATCCCTGTGTGCCTTGTGATATCCGGGATTGGATCCTGGAAGAGAAAAAGGACACTAGTGGAAAAACTGGGAAAATCTGAATGGAGTAGGCCTGTGAGTTAAGGGCAACGCGCCAAGGCTAATTTCTTGGTTTTGAAAAATGCATCGCCGTTCAGTAAGATGTTCACGGCAGAGGAAGCGGTGAAGGGTCCAGGGGGCTCTCTGTGCCATGTGTGCAACTGTTCAAGAATCCCGGATTGCCTCCGAATAAAACTGCTGAGGGAAAAACCCCAGGCCTGTGCACAGTGATTATTCTTATCACCCCCTCTTCAGGATGGTGACACAAAGCCCAGAGAAGCCAAGTGAGCTGTCCAAGGTCACACAGCTAGTTAGCGGCAGAGCTGGGATTCCACCCGAGTCTGCCCGACCGGAAACTCCGCTCTTGCTTTTCGCCGCCAGGGCGCAGGGCCTCAGGGGGTCTCAGCGTCTGTGGTCACTGGCTCAGCTGAACTGTCTCTGCCCTGGTGGCTCCCACAGCTCCCCCAGTCCCCTCTCTCCCCACCCCTGCAGGACCACCCAGGAGTTCCTGGGGCCCTGGGGCCATGGCTGTTGAGGATACGACCAGGGCTGAAGGCCGAGCCAGCGGTGGGGAAGGAAGAGAAGAATGAAAGTTGACTGATGGGGCCAAGGGAGTCCCCGCCTGGCCAGGGTCACCAGGGCCATGCACTGCCCAAGAGCTCAGAGCTGGGAGGGAAGCCCGGGCTGGGATGGGCGTGCCAGGGCAGGCCTCGGTGAACTCTTCTCCCTCTGCCCGCCCCAAGCCCCGTCCCCTGAGAGCCGGCCTCACCCGCTGCCTGGACCTTAGAGCTCAGCCCACTGGGTCCTTCTCGAGGCCCCCGGATGCTGGAGCCTCCATCAGCCTCGACCCCAGGCTCTGGGGTTCTGGATTCATGGAGCCTTTGCGAGGCTCCTGCGAGATGTTTGTAAAGCACTCAACAGGATGACTGGCACATGGTAGGCACCTGATATCTTTTGAAATTATTTTTCCTGACTCGACTCTGATCAGATAAAAACAATCACAGCCACCATTTCTCAACCTCTTGGAACACTTTCCGCACCGGCTTCTGGGCTGCTCGCTTGGTCCATCCCCTCATCCCCACCTCAGGGCCTTTGCACCTGCTGCCCCCTGCCTGGATGCCCTCATCCTGTATATCCACATGGCTCATTCCCTCACTTCCTTCAAGTTTCTGCTCGGATGTCACCTTCTTGGTGAGGCCTTCCTTGACTCGCCTCCGTACAGCAGCACTCTGCTAGTCCCTTCCCCTGCTTTCTCCACTCTCCATAGAACTTATTACCTCTAATATATTGTATATACTTACTTGTTGATTGTCTGTCTTCTCCCAGCAGAATGTCAGCTCCCTAAGGGCAGCATCTTTGCTCTGCTCACTGCTCTATCCCCTGCTTCTAGAACGGTGCCCGGCTCACGGTGGGCCCTCACTAATATTTGTCACTGTTCACTGAGCTCCAGTTAGCTATCTGCCAAGCACGGTTACAGGACTTCATGTGTCCCCTCCTTTCATCATCATCACAACACCTTGAGGAAGCGGCTGCCACCTCCATTTTCCAGATGAGTAAACTGAGGCACTGAGAAGGTAAGTGGCTGACTTGTCAGGAAGCGGCGAAGTCAAGACTCAGATCCAGGCAGGCGGGTCACAGAGCCTATGCCTGAAGTTCTGGATGCTACCACAACTCAGCCCCAGAGGACGTCCTGTCCCCACCTCCCCAGTTCTCCCCCCCCGCCAAGGGCCGTGCCCTGGGCTTTCTCCACTCAAGCCCCCCCGCCAGCGTCCAGTTCTGCTGACAGAGGTCACTTCTGCAAGGGATTCTGGGCACAGTTTGGAGCTCCAACTCTCTGCCCATAAATATGTTATTAGGCATTAACGGGTCCCCAACTGCTGATTAAACCCAGCCCCACCCGCCGCCAGTCTTTGCCTGCAAGGACCGTTAATGGCTTAAGAGAAAACTAAAAATAAGTCGCAAGTCGATGGGAGAGGAATTACCCAGAAATGTCAGCTTGTGCAACTGTCACTGCAGAGAGGACGCCAAGACAAGGCGTGGGGCTCCGAGGTCAGGCGGAGGCAGCAGCCAGGCCCCGCCTTCTCTCACCCCAGTAGCCGGCCCATCACCAAATCCACTGGTGCTGTCTTCCCTGTTTCCAGAATCCGTCCACTTCCTCATCATCTCCATGGCTACCACCTGGTCCTGCCACCACTGTCTCCTCATTGGTGTCCCTGCTCTGCCCTTACTCCTCACATCCTGTCCCTCCTCTGCTCAGAATTCCCAGGGCTCCTACCTCACCCAGAGAAAATCCACAAGGCTCTCCATGATCAGTTCTCTCAGTCCCACTTCCCCTCCTCACTCTGCTTCAGCCACACTCAACTCTTTGCTATTGCCCAAACACCCAGCATGATCCAACCCCAGGACCTTTGCACTTGCTGTTTCCCCTGCCTAAAATATTCTATCCTCACATCTTCCCCAAGTCTCCAAATCCAGCTCTTATCATCCAGGCTCAGCTCAAACATCTCCCCTTCAGAGACCTCCCTCACCACCCAGCTAGAGCAGACCCCCAGGGTCTCTCTATCGACGACCCAGTTTTCTAGCCTGCATATCAGCTCCTAAAGTCACCCTGAATGGGTCTCCTTGCCTGTGCCCCACCCCCACCGCAGCTGAAACATAAGCAACACAAAGCAGGAACTTTTACATGATTCTTCAAATTAACTGGTCTGCACTTTGATAATGTCAAGGTCATGAAGAGCAATGAGAGGCACAGAAATTGTTCCATATTAAAGAAATCTAAAACGGCAGAAGGACTAAATGTACCGTGTAGTCTGGACTGGATGCTCGACCGAGATGAGCCACAAAGGACATTACTGGAACAACCGGCGAAATTGGAAAACGGACGGTGTATTAGATAATGAGCCTGTATCTGGGTCAATCGTCCGGAATTTGATCATTGCCCTGCCGTTGTGTGAGAGGATGTTCTTGCTCCTGGGAGAGGCACGCTGAAGTAATCAGGGGTAAACAGTCAGGACGTCTGCAACTTATTTGCGAATGAATCAATACAATAAGCTCGGTGGGAGAGAGAGGAGGCAAATGGGTGGAGTGGAGCGTGAAAACTGAAGCAGCGAAGTGAAATGCAGGCAAGGGCTCCTCCTACTCATACAGCTTCTCTGTACGTCTAACATTTTTCCAAATAAAAAATAAATAAATATGGAATGAACGATCCTGTTCTTGATACTGTGTCACAGTTATGAGAGTCAGGGAGCTGGGCAGACAGCTGGGCGTGCGTGTGCACACCCACCTGCACACTCACATTGGCACACACTCACAAATACACCCCTCACTGCACACTCCTGTGCAGGCATTCGTGTATGCACACTCACCCCGATGCCGGCGTGTGCCTGGCAGCACACACACACCCACAGTCACACACACACACACACACACACGCCGCCCCCCCCCCCCCCCCCCTGGAACCGCTCGCACGCCCTCGCCCACCTGCGTGGCCCACAGCTGCAGCGCCAGAGCCCGCGCCTGCATCTCCTCCGACGCGCCCATCTCCTCCAGGTGCTGCAGGTAGCTGTCCAGCCAGCTGCTCCTGTGGGCCCGGCAGGCCAGCCTGGCTGGGGACAGCAGCTTCCACAGGTGACCTTTGACTTGCACACCTGGTCCTTATCCCCTGTAGGGACAGAGCACAGAGAGTGGGGGTTACAGATCCACCCCCAGTCCAGGCTGCCCAGCCCTGACCTCCATGAGGACGAGGGTCTGGTGGGTGTCACTCCACGGCGGCTGGGAGCTCCTGGGAAGGAGGCCACAGAGAAGACCTTTAAGCGTTGACTCACTTATTACCCGTCTCAGCCCCATTGGACGGGAGCAAGGGCCTTTGTTGTAGTCACCTGTGTCCCCAGCACTCGGCCCATAGTAAGTGCTCAATAAATATGCATCAAATGAATGGCGTTTCTTTACACAGCAGGGGAAGGAACAGGAAACGCTGAGCAGCAGTCTCCCTTCCCAGGGTCCGGCCCGAGAGCAATGTCCGGCCACGTGCAGGTGGAGGTCACACGAGCAGACTCAGCATAGCTTCGTTCAGGAGACATGAGAACGACCCAACGGACCGTCAACAGGGAACACATTGGTCTGGGGTCTCCAGCTCAGCTGCCCCAGGGAAGGCAGGTGAAGCGAATGAGGCAGGAGGGTCAGGAAGCGCCGCGGGGAACGGAGCCCCCCTGACCAGCCCTCGGCCTGACAGAGAAGCGCAGCCCATCGAGGCCAGGGAGCCCCCCTGACCAGCCCTCGGCCTGACAGAGAAGCGCAGCCCATCGCGGCCAGGGAGCCCGAGCTTTCAGAAGAAGCTGAAAGTCCAGATGCTCACGTGGAATCTTCTGGTATTTTTCAAGGTTAGCGTCTAAGTAAGAGATTCTCAGTCAGTGTGCAGGCCACACAAGCAACTCTGAAGGCCGGCTTTGGCCCACAGATCACCAGTTTGCAATCACCATTAAATAAACAGTGGTGTGTTATTTCTGGAAAACCAAACAGCAATGGAAACAAATGAGAAAGTTCTTTACGTACAGACCTAGACGTCCCACGAGGGCAGACTGTTGAGGGTATAAATTTAGCCAGCTGCTGATTATTTATATACTGTGTTAAGGCTATAAGCTGTGCTATATTTATATACAGACACGCAAACGTAAGATTTGGTTTCTTCAAAATCACTGCTTGGAAAAGTGGAAGTCACTTTGGGTTGCTACGAAATTCCAAAGTACTGGAACCCATTTCATGGGCTTTTCTGAACCAGAAAGCAGTGTTAATAGGAAGACCCATCCACCCAATGCTTCTAAGCTGGGCTGCATGTTACAGGGTGTTTGAAAGAGTGGAAAATGTAGGCTAAGCTTATTTTTTTAAGTATGTTACATTTTCAAATAATATGCTCCATGTGCTTTTCCACAATCTCTGGACACCTTTTCAGGTGACGTACTTCTCAATTTAACGTAGTGAGACCAAATATTCATCTGAAATACATTATTTTCCTGCATTTCCCAGCTTTTGGGGGTCTGGAGAATCACCCAGGAGCTTCCAAATCTCTGGAGGCCCAGGCCCCACTTGAGACCAGTCTCGTGGGCATCTCTGGGGTGGGGGGTGGGCCCGGGCAGGTGGGGACTTCAAGCAGGCGAGTGCAGGACGCAGGAAGTGCTGGAGCCGCCTCGGCAGATGCTCATTCTGGATGCTGACAGGAGGCATCTGATGGACTAGCTAACAAAGAGGGCCGGGAAATTTCCCAGCGCAGATTTAGAGTGACCGGCATTCTCCGAGGCCGGACAGCACAGCTGCAGAGCTGGAACACCACTGTAAACACAGCTTTTACGGACGACTTCAAAAAGCAGTGCGGTATGAAAACACAACCGCCAGCATGGCAGAAAATATTTGCAAACCACGTGTTTGCTGAAGGCCTACTACCCAGAATATATAAAGAACTCCTACAACTCAACAACAACAAAAACCCACAAAAATCCAACTCAAAAAATGGGCAAAGGACTTAGACCTTTCTCCAAAGGAGATATACGAATGGCCAATAAGCACAGGAAAAGATGCTCAGCATCACCAATCAATCGAACGCCAATCAAACCCCCAATGCAAGACCACCTCATACCCATTAGGGTGGATGGTATCAAAAAAAGTAAAATAACAAGCTAAGATGTGCAAAATCAGAACCCTGTGCATCGCTGGTGGGAGTATAAAAGGGTGCAGCCACTGTGGAAAGGCCGGCACGTCCTCAAAAGGTTAAACACAGAATTACCATTTGATCCAGCAATTCCACTTCTGGATATTCGCTCAAAAGAACCGAAAGCAGGAACTCAAATAGACACTTGTATACCCGTGTTCACAGCAGCATTATTCACAATAGTGAAAAGGTGGAAACAACCCAAGTGCCATCAGCAGAGGAATGGAGGAACAAAATGTGTAGACATACAATGGAGCACTATTTGGCCTTAAAAAAGAAGGAAATCTGACACCTGCTACAACATGGATGAATCTTGGAAACATTACACTAAGTGAAATAAGCCGGACACAAAAGGAGAAATATTGTCTGCCTCACTTATCTGAAGCACCTGGAACAGGCAAATTCACAGAGACAGGAAGCAGAAGAAAGGTAACAAGCAGCCGAGAGGAGGGCGACGGGCAGTTACTGTTTAATGGATACAGAGCTTCTGTTGGGCGGGATGAAGAATTTCCGGAAATAGATAACGGCATGGTTACACAACATCGCGAATGGACTTACTGCCACTGAACTGCACACTCAAAAATGGTTAAAATGGTAAAATTTATGTTATGTATATTTTACCACCATTAAAAAAAAGAGGAAAGTATGTGAATGTGATCTGGCAAATGAGCCAAAGATGGTGTTGTATAATAAAAAAAAAAATAGACTAAAAAAAGTTTAAAAAATTAAAGCAGTGCTTTGATCCATGGATCAAATTACAGTACCTCTGCAGAGTCCTTAGAACAGCACAGGGCACGCACTACACCTCACACAAGATATGCCTGTTGCTGCTGTATATTGTTAGAAAAAAAGCAAAGCACCCATAACAGGGTGTGCGGCATGCATTTGTGGAAAAAAGAGAAAAATAAGAATTTAGTCATATTTGCTTGTATTTGCATAAAAGAACTCTGGAAGATCCACGTGAAACTAAGGAAACCAGCCAACTGGGGAGAGTGGGGATCGAGTGGAAGGGGGGCACAAGAAAGGGAGGGAGATTTTCAGCTACTATTTTATATCCCAATGTGTGAACCACGTGAAACATACTCAAAACCCGCACTCCCCCCAACAAGCAAGTCCCAGTGAAAGATCCTAGAGTCATAGTTTACGGAGTCGAAAAGTTCGGTCCGTATCTCAAACAGCTGATAAGGGAGTGAAGAAGGGGGGGTTCTGGAAAACGGAGTCTGGCGACTCCACCTGGCACCCGGCTGATGGGCAGGATGCTGACGTCACAGGCACAGTCTGAATAAAACCACGTCCCAGAGTGACATTTCTCAACGGGTGGTCGATGCCAGACATGAGCTTAACTTCAGGAGTTCAGCCACCTTGAGAGGAGAAGTTGATTTCATTTCCATCCCTAATTACTTCTTTTCTTTTCTCTTTCTTTTTATTATTATTTTTTTAATGGTTTTTTTTTTTTTTTTTGAGGAAGACTGGCTCTGAGCTAACATCCGTGCCCATCTTCCTCCACTTTATATGTGGGACGCCTACCACAGCATGGCTTGATGAGCAGTGCCATGTCCACACCTGGGATCTGAACTGGTGAACCCTGGGCCGCTGAAGTGGAATGTGCGCACTTAACCCCTGCACCACCGGGCAGGCCCCTTCCCCCTAAAGATTTCTAAGTTTAGGTTGACCAAAAACCCAAAACAAGACAAAACAAAAAAACTTGCCACGGAGAAGAGAGGGGCTTGCTGTACATATTTGGGATAACGGTATAATGTGGGCTCATGCTGTATTTTAACGTGTGGAGAAAGGTCTAGAACCCTTCTGTCTCGTAGGGAAGCCACAGCCGTATGTGACCGTCGAGCTCTTGAAATGTGGCCCGAAGTGAGGTGTGCTGAGTGAAACATGACATGGATTTCAAAGTCTGAGTGTGAGAAACAAATGTGAAGTATCTCTTCAATAATTTTCATGTTGATTGCATGCTATAGGGTTAATATTTTAGACAGACTGGGTTGAAGAAAATATATTATTAAAATTGATGTCACCTCTTTCGTTTTTAAATGTGTCTAATAGAAAATTTTAAATTACATAGGTGGCTCACATTTGATTTCTGCAGGCCGATACTGTTCTCGAAGGGTACCATCAAATTGATAACAATGGTGACCTTGGGGACAGAGTTAGAGAGAGTGTGGTCAAAAGAGAATTTCTCTTTTGTGTAATATTAGATTTTTTTTTTATGACAGGCAGAGGAGCGCAGCAAGGAGCCCACGTCCCCTCGCCTCCCAACGCCTCAGTTTTCTCACCTGTAAATTGGGATAATGAGGACCCACCATGCAGGGGCTGAATTCGTTAACATAAGCATGAAGAGGGATGCCTGGCACAGGCCGCGTAAGCATTAGCTACATTATTAAATTAAACAATGGCTGTTAGCATTATTAGTCCCAGGAGAATGTATTCACGTATTATTTCTATAATTAAGAAATAATAATAAACTGTGAAAGAAAGAGCATACAGTTTGCAGCCAGAGAGACCCAGGTTGAAATCCCAGCTCTGCTTCATCCTAGGAGGATGATCTTGGGCAAATCACTTTGTATCTCTGAGCCTCAGTTTCCCCTCTATAAAATGGGAGCAACCTGGCTCGTAGGATTCGAAAAGATTACACACAGAACACACTTGGTACTGGTAGGGGTTTGGTAAATCGTACCTGCTACATTCTTGCCATTAGCATAAGGTATTATTGACCAGCCCCAGTGTAATGACTCAATGCTGGGAGTCAGAACTGCCAGGGCCACTGGTAACGCAGCTGGAGGCAGGAGAAGCAGGTTCCAACTCCAGGCCTCCCATGCTGTGTGGGCTTGACTGAGGCCCTGTCCATCTCTGGGCCCCAGGCTTGAGTACCTCTCCAATTTTTCCTTGGAAACCCTGCTATCTCCTGGAGACCTGAGGGCACAGTCCAAAAAGGCCCCCAGTGGGGACGCGTCTTTAAAGTCTTGTGTTTTACCTTTAAAACGCATTAGATTTTTGCACTAGACTCTGAGATTCTTTCATATAAGAATGCCCTTTCTCCCAAAACAATATTCAAATAAAACAGCCCCCTCCCCGATAATCCAGGGAAATGACTGTTCTAGAAAGAAGCAGGATGCTCAGCTTGGGGCTCTAGTTAATTCTCTACTGTCCCCAACTCCCTACTGTCTGAGAAGCACCAGACTCAATGGTCTAAAGGTCTCCAAAAGGGTCGGTTTTCTTTTAAAATGTTTATATTTTTAAAAGCAGAGGAGGAATAATGCATACAAATGGTAAAAAATAATAATAAGAAAAGAAAAAGAAACTCTGGCAGTTCAGATGGGCATATCATAAAACGTAAGCTTCTCTCCATCCCATTCAGCCCTCCCAGAGGCAGGAATCTACACACGTTCCCACATTGAAAAAGAACCACAACGAAGCCGCCGTTCCGCCCCCTGTTCGCGCAGTAACAGTAGATGCCGTCTCGCAGCAGCCCGTCCTGTTCTGTCTCCCTGTTGCGTGGTTTCCCTTACAGGAGTGCATGATTCATTCCATCGGTCCCTACAGTGGTTTCTAGGGTTCGCTGTTACAAGCAACGTGGCAAGGAGTACCCCTGTGTATCTGTAGACACGTGCAAGCATTTCTGCAGGATAATTCCTAGAGCGTAAGTACAGGATCAAAGGAACGCGCATTTTATGTTTCCATAGGTTCTGCCAAATCGCTCTTACAAGGAGGCTGCGCGGCTGCCCCCGGCCCGCGGGGAGCGCTGAGGGCCGCCCTGCCCGCCGGCCTCCGGCCCCAGAGGAGAAACCTTCCCCAACATCGCCGCCTGCTGCCCGCACTGGGAAATGCAGCCGTCCTATACGCCCAGGGCTGCGCCCAGAATGCCCGAGGGTCCCCTTCTGCATCTACCCAGACAACCCAGGAGCATCCGTATGGGGAAATCACTCTTTCCTGGAGAAGCAATCGGTTCTGGGATGTGTCAGGTGATTTTTGCACGCGACTTTATCAGACCAAGTTTCCATTTTGCTGCTCTGCCACCTACGACAAGTGACTTCACCTCTCTGAGCCTCAGCCTTATCTGCAAAATGGGCATAATACCAATCTTCCAGCATTAATGGCAGGATTCAACCAGATAAGGAATTGCCTCTAAAAGGATGATAAGAGACATGAATAGGGGCCAGCCCCGTGGCCGAGTGGTTAAGTTCTCGCACTCTGCTTCGGCGGCCCAGGGTTTCGCCAGTTTGGATCCTGGGCGCAGACGTGGCACCGCTCATCAGGCCATGCTGAGGCGGCATCCCACATGCCACAACTAGAAGGACCCACAACTGGAATATATAACTACGTACTGGGGAGCTTTGAGGAGAAAAAGGAAAAATAAAATCTTTAAAAAATAAACACTCCACTGTGTTAAAGTTTGGTAGGAAATATATATATAAATAAAGGAACTCAGTTGATGAGTTGGAGGGAGCCTGAATGAGACAATGATTAATCTGCTGTCTGGCACATAGAAAGTGCCCCTCAGGGGCCGGCCCGGTGACACAGCCATTAAGTTCACACGTTCCGCTTCGGCGGCCCGAGGTTTGCTGGTTTGGATCCCGGGTGCGGACGCGGCACCGCTTGGCAAGCCATGCTGTGGTAGGCGTCCCACATATAAAGTAGAGGAAGATGGGCACAGACGTTAGCTCAGGGCCAGTCTTCCTCAGCAAAAAGAGGAGGATTGGCAGTAGTTAGCTCAGGGAGAGAGAGGGAGAAAGAGGGAGGGAGAGAGGGAGAAAGTGCTTGACAAAGAGGATTTTTCCTGCTGCCTCAGCTGGTCCTAACAGTCACCCTCTGAGAGGATCCTACTGTTCTTCCCGCTTTACAAGGGAGGTCACTGAGGCACAGAGAGACCACCTCGGGGCCAGTCAACCACCTCAAGCTGTCTGAGCCCAGAGTCTGTCCTAACCATTCCCCTCTAGAGAAAGGACCTGGGGCGAAAGAAGTCAAGTAACGTTCCCAAACCCCCAGCAAGGGAGCAGCAGGACAGGCATTCGAATCCAGGCCTTGTGACAAGTGTCTGAGACCAGGACACACGGTTTTCCTCAGCCTTCTCGGGGCACTTGTCAAACCTGCAGTTTCGCAGCCTCCCTGGAGATTCGGATGCAAATGGACCAAGATGGGGCTTGCAGACTTGTATCATTAACAAAGGCCCCAGAAGATTCTTCTCGCTGGGGACAGTGGCCAGGGGACAGCACGCCCAGTGGTCCCCATGGCCTCCGCACACTGCATCTGGCAGGAAGCTCTTTACTGATCCTGAGAGCCGTCTGCAGCCGCGAAAATGGATGAGGTGCGTTTTTACAAACTGACGTGGAAACACTCTTAACGTGCAGTTCGGTGACAACCCTAATTGACAGAACAATCGTCCAGGGTGCAGTGTCTATGTTATCAAAGCACAGGGCCGATAACTAGGAGCAACGAGGGCGTGTGAGCATCGAGAGACACGGACGAGAATGGTCCCCAGACCCCACTCCAGATGGGTTGCATCAGAATTTCCACAGGAACCCCAGCTCTGGTCCGAGCCCTGCCTCCCCCACTGTGCTCTTGCATACTCCCAGTGACAGGGGTCTTACTGCCTTTCAGGGCATTAGATGTCCCTCCTCCTATGTTGCCCATGACCCTTCAGCTCAAGTGTGGACTCCCCCTCTGGGTGCCTCTGCCACCCCACCCACCAGGGCCCCCGAGGTGCTTACCCACTGACAAGGAGCCACGTGCCAGCTTGGGGAGCAGCAGGTCGAGCTGGCGGAAGGTGTGGAAGACGTCGGCTGAGTGGATGCGGTCCTGGGCCTGGCTCTCAGGGGTGCGTGGCAGTGCCTCGACTCCGTACAGAGTCAGATAGCCGGCTCTGGGGGCAGCAAACAGCAGGTCAGGGGGTCATCCTCAGACACTCCTGGCCAAACCCTCCCACGGCGCCTCCAAGCTCTGCTTCATTCATTCACCTAACGAGCACCTACTTTCCCTGCTCTACGCCTGGACCGCTCTGGGCCAGGGAGCTGGCAGTGAAAAAACAAAATGCTCAAGGTCCTTGCGGAGCAGACACGCTAGTGTGGGGACAGACAACAGACAAGAGAGACAGGAGAAGGAGTACACGTCAGCTGGCGCTCGGAGGGACGACAAACAAAGCTGGCATGCGGCTCACAGGTTAGGCTGGAAGCTGCAGGATGAGAAAGAGCCAGCGTGGGAAGAGCAGGGGGACGGGGACGAGGCAGAAGGAGCCGCCAGTGCCAACATCCTGAGCCGGGAAGGAAAGAGTGTTGAAGCGCAGCAAGGAGGCGATGAGGCTGGAGCAGAGCGAGTGAGGGGGACAGCGGGGCGAGAGGGGGCCACGGATCAGGAGAGGAGGCTCCGGGTGCAGCAGAGGGAGGCAGGGCGGGCTCCTCAGAGGAGGCAGGGTCTGGGCTGAGACCTGCAGGATGAGCAGGGGAAGCGGTAGGGGAACGGGTTAGGGCAGAGGGCACAGCCTGGGCAGAGGCCTGGAGCCAAGGGAGCAACCATGACCTGGCCAGAGAGCAGCCAGCACTGCTAGTCCAGGTGCTGGGGCTGGAGGGTGAGTGGACGGGGGCCGGAGCAGCCTGGGAGCTGGCAGGGCCAGCCACAGGGCAGGGCAGCAGGCTAGGCTGCAACGGTCAGGAGGTTGGGCTTGACCTGAAGGCCCTGGGGGTCTGAGCATGAGAGGGACAGGGCCTGGTGGGTAGGGACAGAGGGTGAGACCCGGGAGCCAGTGTGAGGCACGCCGCCCACAGGAATGCTCTCAGAGGAAGCGTTCTCACCACCAGCCACTTTGGAAGGCTCCAGAAGCCCAGCCCCACTGGCCTCAGTCCTGGGAGGGAAACCACAGACTTTCACATTTTCCACTTGGTGGGAGGGACTGGGGCCTCTGCAGGGACACCACTGAAGCCCAGATCCAGCCCCGTCCCCAGCTTCTCCTAGTCCCTGGATCTCCCAGGAAAGAGATTTTCCCAGGCAGAGGGTGGAAGCAGGAACGAGGGAGGGTGGCGGCCTGGGGGGGGGCCTGTCTAGCGCCCACTCTGTCCCTCATCCGCACAGTGCAGGCACGTGGCAGATCTCCAATAAGGCGGACAGATGGAGAGTTAGAACTTAAACCTGAGAACACTGATCTTGCGGGGAAATACGGGGACATCACGATTCCAAGCTCAGCCATCCGGGCTGCCGTCCCACCTCTCAGCACCCCACTCCCCTCCCCGCATCCAGCCTTGGATTCCCCGCCCCCCGGGGATGGAGCGCTCACAACCCGCCCGTCCACTGGGCTCGCAGGGAGCCATCCTTCCATCAGAACAGCTGAAATGAGGTCTTCCCAGCGTCTCACCCGCCGGCCCTATTGGGGCCTCGGCATCAGCCCAGAAGGAGGTCTCTCCCCTTCTCCTCGGCGTGTGAGGCCCCGGGTCCCGCTCCTCCAGACTAACGCCCTCAGTTTCCCGGCAGCAGAAGCCGTAAAGGTGCAGCCCACGGGCGGCATTCAGCCCACAGACGTGTTTTGTTTGGTCAATAGAGTTCTCGTCAAAACAAACTGAACACGTATTTAAACATCTGGGGAAATTCACGCAAAATCTGGATTTCCCCCTTATCTCATGTTGAAAAAGGAGAGAATCTGGCCACCAGGAGCCCAGTCCCGCCTGGCAGCCCCGGGCGGGAGTGGAGTCACGGCCGCCCCTCCTAGAGGGGACGAGCTGGCAGGATCTGACGTCCTCCCCTCCCCTCCCCCACTGCGGTCCCCCTGACACTGCAGCTGAACACCTGTCCCCATCAGTCATCCCACTCGCGCTGGCTTCATTCTTAAAGCAGAAAACCATTTTCTAGTACATATATTTCTACCAAAGACAGGCAATGAAAAGAAAACCAAAAAGGCCACGCGGTTTCACACTGTGGCAGTGAAGGCCCTTCCCACGGCACCTCCTCATCAAAGCAACACGGCACACGGCTGGGGACAGACGTGAATAACTACATGTGTAAATACACGCATGACCTATAGGTGGCGACAGGAGCCATAAGGGAACATAAAGCTGGACCCGGGCTGGGTAAGCAGAGAGGTCCGTCATAGTAAATGGGGGGTCAGGAAGGCCTCCCTGAGGAGTGACACTCGAGATGAGACTTGAATAAAGTGAGGCAGGAGCCACAAGACATGTAGGGAACAGCATTCTCAGGTAAGGGAACAGAAACTGCAAAGGCCTCAAGGTGGGGGCACACCTGGCCTGTTCAAGGGACAGCCAGGAGGCCGCTGAGATGGCGGGGAGAGAGCAAGGGGAACACTGGGAGGGATGAGGGCAGGAGGGGCGGGGGCAGATCGTGCAGGATGCTGTAAGCCAGGGTTAGAACTTCGGACGTGACTCTGAGTGACGCAGGGGCCCGCATAGCACAGGTGGCAGGTTTAAGCGGTGGCATCTCACAGTCTGGGGCCGTGTGAAGCTGCACCTCCACGTCAGTGTCCCTGTCATCCACCTCGCCCGTTCCCTTCCTATTAGAGGGTCTGCGGATGGTGACGACAAGGCCCAAGCCTGCTGATCCAGGAGGCAGGAGCTCCAGCCGAGGCCTCGGGCCCTGAGGACACGGGGTCCAATTACATCTGACCCTGAACTGCGCCTGCCGTTACCGTGGGCCTACACAGACCCAGCTGCCACCACGTTGTCCCCACCTCCCCTGGTGCCACAGCTTCCTCCCTGACTTCTTGGCCCGCACAAGGACACGGGGCGGCAGGAGCCAGGAGCCCTGGAGGTGGCCTGCTGGGAACCTGCTGGGAGGTCTCTCCCTGGACCTCGGTCTCCCCATCATACAATGACGGTGCACCAGGCCACCATCGCCCAGACCACCAACAGCCTTGATGGTGTCTGCACCGCTCCAGGCGAAATGGGGAAAAGGTGGCCCTGGTACACAGCGAGGGTCGGCACACAGCCATCCCTGCCACGCCCCCAGCTCCGGGACTCCGGGCGATGACCCGGACTCTCCTGGCCTCAGTTTTCTCCTCTGTCAAATGGGGTTTGTAAATTTCCAGCCCCCCAGAGCTGTTGTGAGGATGGAATGCATTAACACACATTGAGCCTGCATGCGCGCACATGCGCATGTGTCATAAATGTACCTGTGGGCCCATACGTGTCGGTGAATGCCTGTCCTTTATGCTGGAACTCTGTCCCTCCAAATTCTTGGAGCGGTTGAAACGGCCTTTCCTTTACGGGATGCTGGTCAGTTAACGGCACCACCAAAAGTCACTGAGCTGTCCCGGCTCCTGCTCCCCCTGGCCCCATCACCCAGTCAATCCTGCAGTAGGTCCTGTCAACTCTGGCCCCAAAGCTACCCCAATTCTCGCCATCTCCCATGTCATCCCCCGGGTCCAGGCCACCGTCCTCTCTGACCTGGGCAACTACAACCACCTCCACCGAGTCCTCTGGCTTCTCCCTCATTGCCACACACCGACCTTCTGGCAGCCAAAGAGACCTCTTAAAACTCTGAGATCAACCATGCCACAGGCTTGTTAAACGGCCAAAGTCACTTGTCTTACTTAGAAAAAATTCCAAAGGCTTCCTTGGCCTTGCAGCTCTGTGAGACCTGGTTCGCCAATTTCTCTGCCCTCATCTCCTCCCTACCCGGCCTTGGTCATCAGGCTCCAGCCACACTGGCCTCTTGCCAAGCTTCTTCCTACCTCCGGGCCTTTGCACTTGCTGTTCCCTTTGCCCAGAATCTTGGCATGGTGGGCATCTTATGGTCAGGTCTGCACTCTGAGGCCAGAACCTCCGAGAGGCCCCCCTTTTCAGTCGGCTAAAAGAGCCCCCAGTGCTGTCACCCCATCTACGGATCTCCGTCATCGCATCTGTCACTCTCTGACAGAATCGGCTTTATTTCTCGGTTTATTATCTGTCTCCCCCAGTAGTGTCAGCTCTGTGAGTTTTGGGACTTCATCTGTCTTGTCCCTGCTGTGTTCCCAGTGCCTGGGACAGTGTCCGGCACTGCTGAAGGAGGGAACATCGGTAGTGCAGTTTTAACAGATGTTTACAAGGGCTGATAAAAAGCTCAAGTCCTGGGCTGGTCTCCCACACAGTCTGTCTTCCTGGGCTGTGCAGTTCCGAGGGCTGGAGGCCACAGGACAAGACGGTCTCTGAGGCCCTACTCTCCTACTCCCTCCCTGGGTGACTGGACAGGCCCCTTTCTTGGCCGGAGTCTCCTTTATAACTCAGAGGCTGAGCCAGCTGAACACCTGGGGCCCCAGATGCAAAATGTCATCTTACAGTCTTGGCTTTCAGTGTCCCAAACTGCTTCCCCCCAGAGCTCCCCTGGTTCCTCTGCCACTATCAGTGGCTGACCCAGGTCCGGAGGCCGGGCTCCATGCAGGAGAGGGGGAGCCGCACACGCTCACCTGAGCATGAAGCTGTAGGAGAAATCGAGGAGCCCCATCTCCTGCCAGCCACTGCCCGCTTCTGTGGTGTCGCCCAGCAGGACGGTGCAGAGGTTGGTATACATGGCTTCCGTGAGCGCCTGGAGGTCTCTGTGGAGGAGAGTCCTGGGGCGGGGAGCACAGGAGTGAGAGAGCAGCCTCCCCAGGGAAACAGATGCACACAGGCCAGGGGCCTCCCTCCCGAACCCCAGGCTCCCAGGGCTCCAGTTCCTCAGGGCAATGGGGGCCTTTGGAAGACCAGCTTAAACAAAATGATATTATTATTACTAGCATCGTTAACAACGACGATAGTTACCATTTATTGTCCTGAGTGCAATGATCTCTTTCATCTTTTGACAATCGTTACTATTATGATACCTATTTTAAGGATGGAAAAACTCAGAGACAGACAGAAAAGTGACTTTCCCAAGGTCACCCAGCCAGTAAGTGATACAGCTGGGACAGAAACGCTGACCTGCCTCACTCCAGAGTCTGAACTCTTCACCCTCATAGTCTGTCCCTCCTCGGGGCACACAAGCTTGGACAAGGAGCCCCCAGACTTCTAGAAGAGAGGAACCAAGAGACCAACCCTTTCTCCTGGAGATCCAAACTTAGGGAGACCTGTTTGGAGAGTTAAAGTGTCCCCTGACCGAAGACTGCTACTAAGACACGACCCCAAGTGAGCGGGATGTGAGGAATAAGGGATTCTGGCCTGTGACCTGGTCGCATCGTGTGCCCAGGAGTCTGAGAAAACCAGACCCGGGAGAACGTGGCTGAAAGGAGAAGCCCCCTCTGTGCTGAGCCTCCGCAACACAGAATCAACGTTGAGCCATGGCTGAGGGCACGATTAGAAGCCCAGAAGGTGGGACCTTGTATCAAAGGTTAAGGCCCCTCCGCACCCTGCCAGGGATCTAGACCAGAAGGGGCCACTGCAGCCGGCGCGCAGAGTCCGCGGGGCGGGCAGAGCCGGCGCTCCACAGCGACGCCGTGTGGCAGCAGGTGTACGGAACAGGTGCTCCTGCTCTCTGCCGCCGCCTGCTGTTTGCAAGGAGGATGGGCCCCTCCGGACTGAGCGAGCGCCCGGGTTCTTGGATAATTCAAGAGGGGAAAGCGTCCAGAGCGGTTCCGTGAACTCCCAGGGAATAAAAGCGGTCGGATGTTCAAGCTGGAACATCGTTGGAAACACAACAGACAGGACCCATGGGAGATCACGTGTGTAAAGGGCTTATTAGGCACCCGGCACATTGTAAATCCTCGATAAATGGGAGCAGACCTAGAGATTGACTGCGATCCAGCTGTTCCCCTGACCCCACTCCAAGCGCTAGTCCTTGATGGAGACAGGAGTCCTCAACAGATGTGGCAGCCATGCCCAGAAGACATCATGCCGGCTTCTGAGAAATTCCCAGAAACCCTTAGGGTAGACCCGGAGGAAACTGGCGTCCTCTCTGGGTGGGGCATAGGATGCAGTGAACTGTGGAGTCTTGTTGCTAATGGGACCCAGGACATCAGGCTCAGAAGCACTCCTAGCAGCCGTCCCACAAAGCCAAGGTCAGACGGGGCCCCACGTCATCAATGTCCACCTCACACTTGGGCTTTCCTAGCGCTGGCCGTCCTGTGGAACCTGCCTCTAGATGCTTTTCCTGACCGCAGGAGGTGACTTCCTGGAGACAGATCCAGAGAATTAGCTGTGGAGGCTGCAGACCTGGGTTCAAATCCCAGCTCTGCCACTTACTAGCGGTCGGCCTTGGGTAAGCCACCTCACTTCCCTGAGCCTGTTTCCTCATCTGTGAAATAGGGGTAAAAATGCCTACCTCCTGAGACTACTGCACACATATGGAAGTGTGCCTATCAAACCCCTGGCATGGGGTAGGTGTCTTCAATGGTGGCTGGCATCATTCTGCACCCCAGCCTCTAGGACGGTGGCCAGTGTGAATAGGTCATCTGATGTTTGCTGAATTCACGCAGAGTAAGTGTGCTCATATGTCCTCTGGTTGACGTGATTATTCCTCATGTTTCAGGACCTGCACCACTTCCTAGCTGTGTGACCTAAGACAAGTCACTGCTCTTCTCTGAGCCCGTGTCCTCATCTATAAAGTGGGGCTATAACTTACTGGCCCTCCAGCACCGTCGTGAAGACTAATGAGATCATGCATGATGCCTGGAACAGAGTATGGACTCGAAAATGATAATCACCCCACTCAGCTCTCTTCATTTTATAGACGTGGAACAGAGGCTCAGGAGGGGGAGTGACTCGTCCAAAGCCACAAAGCTGAGAAGTGGTGGAGCCGGGATTTGAAGCCAGATCAGGCTGACCCAAACCCTGGTCTCTTTCTACGAAAATCAAAGCTTCCTCCTCAGAAGGCTAGAGTTCTTCTTCGGCCCATTCCTTTAGGTTGTTTTTTGTTTTGTTTTTGTTTGTTTATTCAAAACAAATGTCTTTACTGGACACCTGTTGTGGAGAGAAGCCCGACCCACACAGGACTCGGGCTATGCAGGTAGACTCAGGCCCCCGACCCTGGCCCACCCACAGGTACCATCTCCAGCCACTCACGGTTTCATCTTGGCCTTTTCGTCGCTGGGGTTGTAATGCGGAAGCTGCACGTCGAAAATCCTCTCCATGAGGAAGACAGCATAGGCGTGGAAGTCCAGCTTGCTGCGAGGCTCCCACACCACCGTCTCGTAGGAATGTGGGTCCAGGAGGACAGTGACGTACCTGCCCCCGACCAGCACCTGGGGGAGGCGGGGGTGCAGCGAGGAGGAGCGTCAGGAATAACAGTAGACCTCAGTGTCAAGGGCTTACCCCGTGCCAGGCACTGGCCCCACCAGCACTCAACGGACAATGTTCTCCATACCCCTCACGACTACCCCGTGAGGTAGGGACCATCATCCACCCATTTATAGCTGCACAGTGAGGCTTAGAGAAGGTACCTAATGTGCCCCAGATCACACAGCTGAGAAGTGGCAGAGCTAGGACTGGAATTCAGCACGTCACTCTTAAGCACCTGCCATGGTTATCTTGGTTACTGTCATATATTCAGCAGCCAGGAGAGAGTCTGCCCGCAGTAGGCAGCAGGTGGATGTTGTGTGCATCACAGGTGGATGGACTGGATGACTGGATGGATGGATGGATGGATGGAAGGATGGATGGAAGGATAGATGGAAGGATGTTGGTAGATAACTGCTGCTGGATAGATTATAGATGGGTGGGTGGGTGGATGGATGGATAAGTGGATGGAAGGAAGGACGGATGAATGGACGGATGGACGGATAGATGGATGGACTGATAAACAATGGGTGTTGCTGGGTAAATGCTAGTGGACGTGCAAGCGATGCCCACTTCTCTGGGAGGCTGAGCTCGGTATGTAACATGCTCCCCAAGAAGGGAAGGCAGCGGCTCTGGAGAGCTGCAATCCTGCGGTTAACAAGGGTAAGGGTGTCTGCCCTCAAATGTCTGTGGAAGGGGCCACATAATTCTACCCACCGCCTTGGCCTTATTTTCAAAGTGTGGTCTATGAGTCACATAAATCAAACTCTCTTATAAAATAGAAGCCAATATTCAAGGAAAAAATGCTTTTGGATGGATTGTTAGATGGTTGGATAAATGGAAGGATAGATCAGTGAAGGTATGTTGGATGGAGAGATGAATGGATGGGCAGCTAGAGGTTGGCTGGAAACTAAATGTGTGGATGAATGTTGGGTACATGGATGGCAGGATGCTGAGTGGATATTGGGTAAATAGATTGGAGGATTAATGTTGGGTGGAAGGAAGTTGGAAGGATACGTGGAAGATGGATGGATGGGTGGTGGTTTGAATAGATGTTGAAAGGATAGATGGCTGGAGATATAAATAGATGTATATCAAGTGGATAGACACCAGATACTGAATGGATAGATAACTGAACATTGGGTGGATAGTGGCAGATGGATGGAAAGGTGAGTAGGTAAACAGAAGAACAGAAGTCGGTGAAAATTGAATATATGTCAAAACCAGAAGGACCTACAACTTGAATATACAACTATGTACTGGGGGGCTTTGGGGAGAAGAAGAAGAAGAAAAAAAAATTGGCAACAGATGTTAGCTCAGGTGCCAATCTTTAAAAAAATTTTGAATATATGGATGAAAGTTGGATGGATGTTAGGTACATGCAAAGAAGAATTCTGGATAAATTTGGCTAGACAGAGAGATAGATACTGGATAAATGGCTAGATAGACAGATGTTGGATAGGTAGATGAAAAGATGGATGAATGAGCGGATAGATGGAAGTTTGATGGAATGGAATATATGAATGAATGTTGTGTAGATATTAGGATGGAAGGATGCTGCTTAGATATTGGGTAGATAGGCAGAAAGATAGATGTTAGATGGATGGATGTTGGATAGATGGAAGTTAAGTGAATGGATAGGGGTCAGCTGGATGGATGTACAAATATTGGATAGATATTGAATGACGGCACAGTTCAATGTTGGGAAGATGCTAGAGGGATAATGAAGAGGCGGATGTTAGATAAGCGTTGGGTGTATAGTGGGATAGACATATGGATGGACCACTGGATGTTGCATGGGCAGGTTAGCGTATAGAAGAACGTAGAAGGAATCAGTATGACAGGCCCAGCTACTCATTCCTTCCCTCCCAAGAGGCACAAGAGGCACTTACAGTAAAGATATCACCATGCTTCTCCTTCATCCTAGTGAGGAAGCTGGCAGCATCTTTTCCAAACTCCAAGGCATAGCCCAACCAGGGGATACTGCCCAGGTCCAGGGGAGGCTCGCCAGGTCGCCTGCAGAAGCCACAGCACGGATCACACTTGAGGAAGCAGGGAAGAGGAGAAGGGTGCAGGGCATGGGGTGTGGTTTTAAATGGAGCGGGCAGGGCTGGCTTCCCTGAGGAGACATTTGAGCAAAGACCTGAAGGTAGTGAGGGACGGAGCCACATGGAGATCTGGAAGAAGAGCCTCTGGGCAGAGGAACACAAGTGCAAAGGCCCTGAGGTTGGAACATGCCTGGTGTGTTCAAAGAACAGTAAGGAGGCCAGCGTGGCTGGACTGGAGGGAGCAAGAAGTAGTGGAAGTTGAGGCCAGAGCAGTAATGGGAGCCAGACCGTGAAGGGCCTTGTGGGCAGCTGCGAGGACTTGAGCTTTTTCTCTGAGTGAGGTGGGAGCCAGGGGAGAGTTTGGAGCAGAGAATGGGCATGATTTGGCTTAGGGGCTTCCAGGATCAATGGATTATAGGGGGTTGAGAGCAGAAGCTTGGGGACCAGTTGATGTTGGTACATATTCCAGAGTCTAATCGAGATGGTCATCTCTCTGTGGGCGAGAGAGCCTTCCAGAATCCAGTAGTATAGACAGAGTTCTCTGTCTGAGCCAAGCTGGACCAGGGTTTTGGTCGTCTCGCCCTCCCTGTCGTGCCCACGGAGAAAAGATGAGACTGGAGAGCAGGGCTGAGTGGCAGAAGGTGGAGGAAGGACTGGCCTTGTTCCTGACCCCTGACCGCCCCTCTCCAGCTCAGAATCTGACGTATCTCAGGGGACCAGAGGCCAGGCCCATGGCCTGTGGGGATGTCCCAGGGGTACATGCCAGTTCACCAGGGGGTGAAGGTTGCATGTGTGATATTCAAGCTCAGAATCATCTGTGAGAGCAGAGGGATGTCTCTGAGAACATCGTAACTATTTATAGCTCACCGCGGTAGACATAATTCTACGATGACCCACATTCTTATATAATCCCCTCCCACTGAGTCGGGGATAAATGGTACAGTTGACTTTAAGAAAGAATGATTGGGGCCGGCTTGGTGGTGCAGTGGTTAAGTTCGCACGTTCCGCTTTGGTGGTCTGGGGTTCACTGGTTCGGATCCCGGGTGGGGACATGGCACCACTTAGCACACCATGCTGTGGTAGGCATCCCACATATGATGCAGAGGAAGATGGGCATGGATGTTAGCTCAGGGCCAGTCTTCCTCAGCAAAAAAGAGGAGGATTGGCAGCAGTTAGCTCAGGGTTAATCTTCCTCAAAAAAAAAAAAGAAAGAATGATTTTCCTTAGTGGGCCTGACCTAATCAGGTGGGGACAGGGCTTACAAGAGACAAGGCAAAAGAGACTGAAAGCATGAGAAAGATTTGACATAAGGGAAATTCTCTGTTGCTGGCTTTGAAGATGGAAGGGGCCACATGGCAAGGAATGCAGACGGCCTCTGGGAGCTACAAGTGGACCTTGACTGACAGCAAGCAAGCAAACAGGGACCACAGTCCTACAATCCCAAGGAGCTGTCTTCAGCCAGATTCTTCCCCGGAGGCTCCTGATAGGAAGGCAGTCTGGCTGGGACCTTGATTTCAGCCTTATAAGACTGAACAGGGAACCCGGCCGCACTGTGCTGGACTTCGGACCTACCAAACTGTAGGCCAATAAGTGGGTGCTTTTCTAAGCTGCTAAGTGTGTGGTAATTTGTTACACAAGAAGTAGCTAACACACTCAGGCTTACACTGCACTTACCCCAGGCCCTGCCCTTGGCCAAGCGCCGAAGATATGAATGTCTCATCGCATCCTCTGAGGGAGGGATGGTCACTAAGGAGAGCTACAGCACGTGCACAAAGTGGGCCTCACAACACTGAAGAGCCGGTGCTCGTGGTGGACCCCGTGGAGGGCCCGAAACCCAGGCTAGGACCCCTGTTTCAGTCTTAGAATTATCAGAACCACAGGGATGCAGGAAGCTCGCTGTCTGCCGAATGCGTGAGTGACTCGTTGCCTCTCTCCTCACTGCGGACTCAGTCACTCCTTCACCAGATATTAACTCTGAAGAGGTCAGCTCTGGGCGCTGGAGAGACAGCACCACGCAGGACAGCAAGGCGCCCGACCGCGTGGGCCTTCCCTGCTAATAAGGGCAGAAGGTCAAGAAACAAAAAAGCAAAATCACTGCCGAGAGTGAGAAGCGTGAGGAAGAAAGTCAAGGAGATACAACTCGACAACGAAAAGACAAGTAACCCGATTCAAAAACTCAGGAAGGATTCGAAGGGACAGTCCTCCAAAGAAGAAATACAAATGGCCAGTAGGAACATGAAAAGATGCTCAACATCATTAGCCACGGGGGGAGGTGCAAATCAAAACGACAATGCCCTACGGCGTCACACCGCCTGAGATGGCCGCAGTGAAAAAAGCAAAAGAAGTGCTGGTGAGGGCGTGGGGAAACTGGAATCCTCGTGCGTGTCTGCTGCGAACGTAAAACGGTGCAGCTGCCGTGGGAACTGGTCTGGCAGGCCCCTGAAAGGTTAAAGAGTTACCACACAGCCCAGCGATATGCCCCAAAACACTGCAAACATATGTTCATATGTTCATGCATGAACTCATACGCTATTGTTTACGGTCATATTATTATCCATAACAGCCAAAAAGTGGAACCAACCCAAATGTGCATTGGCTGAGGAACGGACAGACAAATGTGGCAGGTCCACGGCCTGGAACATTACTCAGCCATAAAAAGGCACGCAGCACTGATTCACGCTATGGTGTGGAAGAATCTCAGGACCGTTACGCTACGGGAAAGAAGCGGACACAAAAGCCACATATTGCATGATTCCATTTCTGTGGAATGTCCAGAAAAGGCGAGTCCACAGAGACACACAGGAGATTAGTCGTTTCCAGGGGCTGAGGGGAGGGGCAATGGAGAGAGACTGCTGACGGGCACGGGGTTTACTTTGGGGGTGATGAGAACATTCTGGAGTTGGATGGTGCTGATGGCACACAACCCTGTGAATATACGAAAACCCACCGAATTGTATACTTTAAAAGAGTGAATTTTATAGTATGTGAATTACATTTCAGTAAAGAAAAAAAGAAGGGTGATAGGAGAGAGCGAGGCGCCTAGTTTAGAGAAGGCGGTCAGCGAGGGCCTCCCCACAGAGCTGCCATGTGAGCGAAGACCGGAGGATGAGAAGGGAGTACAGTGGAAGAGTGTTACAGACAGAGGGAGCAGCAGGTGCAAAGGCCCCAGAGAGGGAGCACATCTGATGAGGTTTTCAAGACAGCAGGAGCATACGTGGTCAGAGTGCAGAGTGTGGGGGTGAGGGGTAGGAGATGACCCCTGGACCTCGAGGGTCTGAAGGCCAAGGAGAGAGTCTGGCTTTGACGCCAAGTGCAACGTGGGTCCTCTGGAAGGTTAGGAGCCGGAGGAGGGAAGCGATGCAATCACGCTTTTGAAGGCTGCAACAGAGAAGGAGACGGGGGAGGTGTGTCAGGAGACTTCCAGTACCTTCCGGAGAACCGCAGTGGTGGGAGCGGAGGCGCGTCCCCAGTGAGCCAGGCTTGGCATCCGACCCCTCCACTTCCAGGACGGGGGGCTATGGTGCCAGCCCCTGTAGTCCAGGGGACTGCTTCCCCTCCCCCTCCACCCCCCTCCACCACAGCCTCCTGCTCCCTCCGTCTGGCTGTCCCCAACATAGCCCAAAGGGTGGAACAGGTGGTGGACAGAAAGACTGACCAGATTTACGGGCTGGGGTTTGAGAAAGATGGGAGCAGAACCAGAGATGAGGTTTGAGGGCATCGGGAGGCGCCTTCCCAACCACCCCCCACCCCGCTCTCTGCCCGCCCTCCCCTGCCTCTGGGCCCGTCATGGCGGAGAACCGCGAAGTGGCAGCTCTGGGGCACCAGGGGGGCGCCAGGGCCCTTCCTCTCCCCTCATCTCTTTGTGAGCCGCTGGCCGGAGGCAGCTCCTCCTGAAGGCTCCATTTAAAGGAAATGTGTCCAGAGACGGAGGTTGGATCGGTGGGTACCAGAGGGGAAGGGGGCAGGGAGCAGGGCGGAAGGGGAGCCTGGGCACGTGTGTGGCGATGGAGTGTAGCCAATCTTTGGGTGGTGAACATGATGCAGTCTCCAGAGAAACCGAATACAGCGATGTACTCCTGACATTTATATCATGTTATAAAGCAGTTACCTCATAAAAAATAAATCAATTAAAAAATAAAGGAAACGTGGCATGCTGGCAGAGCACGGGGTTGGAGTACCCTGTTAGCGTGGTGCGCACCAGCCCTCTCCCGGCCCAGGTCCACCCAGAGAGACAGGACACGGGCGCAGTGACTTCTGCACAGGAGGCAGGAGGCCGTGGTGGTTATGGGCCCCAGTTCAGCCCCACACTTCCTGGCTTCAAATCCCAGCCCAGCTTCTTACTGGATGTGTGACTTTGCTTCTCCGTGCCTCAGTTTCCCCATCTGTAAAACGGGAGTGACAACACTACTGATCACACCAGGCTGTGATGAAGATGAAGGGAGGTCTGGCCAGCACCTGGCACCTGGTAGCTGGGGTGGGTCTGAGCAGCAGGACCAATAAGACTCGGGGTGCCACTTATTGAGCAGCAAGCGTACGTCAGGCCCTGTGCATTTTCCAGTGTTTCCTCGCTTGGTAATAATGCTGATACTTAATGAGCCCTGACTGTGTGATCCTATGAGGAAGGAACTATTACCATCAAGCCCATTTTACAGCAGACGAAACTGAGGCCCAGAGGGGCTGACTCACTTGCCCGAGGGCCCACCCTGGAGGAGCTGGGTTTCTAACCCATGCAGGACTGGCCGCAGAGCCCACGCTCTTGATGCTACCCTGGCCCCAAGTCACCCCAGGCGGACGTCTGCCTCCCCACTCTGCAGACGCAGAAACTGAGACACAGAGAGGTTGCAGCGACTGCACAGATGCCGGCCCGAGATTCTCCCCTCAGACATCTGTGAGGGGCTGGGTGGGGCCAGGGCTTCCTTTCCCTGCCCTTTCTCCCTGCCGAAGCTGGGGAAGCTCCCCAGCGAGCCAGGTGTTATTTCTGGCAGCCTTTTATCTGTCCCCAGAAAAGTCCTGAGGAGGCGCAGACAAAGGCAGGAAGCTGGGAGCCCAGGCGTCTGACCCGTGATGTGGTGGCTCCTCCAGCCGGGGGCCTGAAGCCCAGGCGGGCTCAGCTCACACTCCAGGGTGACTCAGCCTGCGGCCAGGAGGAGGGAGCTCTATTTTGGGGTCTGCGGTCTCCGGCCTCTCCTACGGACACTCTCACTGTTCTGAGGCACCGCCAGGCCCTGGTGGGCAGGGCTGGAGGGCTTGACCCCCTCTCCCCCAGCTCCCGCCCACACAGCTGACTGTCGCCTGCCCTTCTGCCCTTCCTGGTTCAGACATCGAGGCACCTTTGCTGATTCCCCCCTGGAGCTTTGATTCCCCTCAAGCGGGTTCCTCCAGAAACTGCCCATTCCTCGCTCACAGACACCCCCACCCCCGCCAGCTGTCCAGTCTCTCTCTCACTGGACCCTTCCCGACTCAGGGCAGAGGGTCAAGGATGGATAACAGTCCGCCTTTGGTCCTTTGAAGGGTCATGCCTTCACTGGACGGCAGTTCCATGGGGGCGGGCACTTCTTGACCCCAGCACTTAGAACAGGGCCTGGCACATGGCAGGTGCTTCACATATATGTGTCAGATGAATGAATCATGTACATACTTGGTGCTCAGTGAGTGGCACCTGCCTCCTAATGTTGCTAAAAGCATTAAGGGAGCTAACACAAATTAAGAGCCTGGCACACAGTCCACGTTCTGGATTGCCCAGAGCAGAGGCTGCATCATTTAGCTGTGCAACGTTGGTGGATTGCCCGACCTCTCTGTCCAGTGGTTTCAACTCAATTCGGGGCCTCAGGCGCCAGAAGGATTTAATCGGGGAACAGAAGGAGGTTAACCCCTTCTTTCCCCAGGGCTCACCCACAGGCTGTCTGCCATGAATGAGCATTTCCCTGATCCGCCCCTACTCCTCCCCTTTGCCTCCCGCTGTGTAGAAAAAGCAGGTGGCCAACTTGCTCTAGTTTTGTTTTCCTGTTTTTCTAGTAGACAGTTTCAGAGGATTGTCTCTCAACGTAAGAAAAATAGTAGAGCTCGTATGGTGATAAATAGAACAGCTGTGTGTTGGAGAGCAACAGGGAGTGGTGGGGACTGTGCCAAGGTTTAGAGCGGGCTCTACTAAGGAGTCCCAAGCAAGTGTTGCTACATCTTCCAATCTTTCACGCGAAGCTGGGAATCTGGAGTTTTGTGTGTGGACTCCCCCAGTTCTCTCCCCTTGTACTGTGTGGTACACACCAGATCCATCGGGGGCTGAATCCAGCCACGGACCATCATTTGGTGACCTCTGGTCAGTGCACGTTGGAGTGAGACAGATTTATTTGCGCCTAGCAATTTCGTATCCTGCAAGGGACCAGATCAGCCCTTGAGCCACCAGGAACCCTAACCTAATGCCACTGTGGCCTCTGGTCCCCCCGAAAAGGGGCTTCCCTCCCAGAAGACCTCTCCCAATGCTCCCTACAGCAGCCACACAAACCCAAAGATGAAGAGAGATGCACTCAGCCTGGCGAAGTGGCTGGGGCGTGAGAGCCCGGCCGCATGAACCATCCCAGAGCAGAAAGGGAGAGAACAAGGCCAGGAAGGCGAGAAGGCTTCTGACAGCCACATGGCAGGTCATCAGCCTCGATGGCCACAGGAGTCAGACCCCTAATTCTAGCCCCAGGCCTCACCACCTCTCCCAGAAGAAAACACGCACAGCTATCAAGCTGGGCCTAAAAGTTCCTGCCCTAATTCCAGAAATTTGAATTTGGACTGGGAGCTAGAGAATGTTAAGATTTATTGTCTATAGTCTCAGGCAGGATAACAGAATTGCTATTGTCATTGTTTTCTGAAACGCATGCTGAAATGCTTCGTGGTGAGATAGTCTATCCGTAATTAAAAAAAAATGTTAACAACTGTCAATCAAGATGATGGGTACCTGGGGGCTCTCCCATTCTTTTTATTTTTCCATATCGTTGAAATTTTTCATAAGTAAAAAATTTTTAATTAAAAAAAAAACAAAAATGAAGCCAGAGGTAAAGACAGACTAAAAAGGTGGGTTTTTTGGTTTTTTTTTTTTACTGGGAAAAGCATGAATTTTGGAACCAGCTAGATGAGGAATACAATTCCTGTGTGGCTTTAAGGAGGTACGCAGGCTTTCTAAGCCCCGGCTGTAAGATGGGGGGAGGCACGTGACCTCGTCACCTCCAGCGGGGGCCGGTCAGGAGAAAGGAATGAGCTGAGGGTTTGAATCATGGTGACACAGCGTCAGCATCACCAGCTCTTTCTCTAACACGCGGGTATTTGTTCTTCCTTAGGAACCTTCTGGTTGCAGCCACATCTCTTACTATCTTAACATCATGTGATCGTAAGACTTTTGAGCATTCAGATCACAAATATAATGTATGGAAAGAGTGAAAATTCACTTTTCCTGGGAATTAAAAATTCTTGCAGCCCCGATTTTTAATCCAGGCAGATCTGGGCAAGTTGCTTGGCCTCTCTGAGCCTCGGTTTTCCTCCTCTGTAAAAAGGGGGTAACAAAGTGCCCCCTGACTGAGATGAGAGAAGAAGATGAGACTAGAGCCTATACTGGGGTCCCTTTTGGGTCTCCCCAGGGTCCACGCAACTGCCCCCCAGTTGCCAGTGACCTCCACGCCCACACTTCTCCCCAGTACCCACTTGTTGACCCTCCTGAGCCACCCACAGGTATAAAAATCAACGGCTCACCCTCAAAGATAAATTAGCTCTCTGGACTGACAGCAAAAATTAGCTAAAATAATGTGCAATTGGCATTTCTTCTAACCCAGCAATTCCACTGTTACCTACGATTATCATCATCATCCCCATTTTAAAGATTGGGAAACTGAGGCAGAGAGCAGTGACTCAACTTTTTTTTTTTTTTGAGGAAGATGAGCCCCGAGCTAACTACTGCCAATCCTCCTCTTTTTGCTGAGGAAGACTGGCCCTGAGCTAACTCCATGCCCATCTTCCTCTACTTTATACGTGGGATGCCTACCACAGCATGGCTTTTCAAGCAGTGCCATGTCCGCACCCAGGATCCAAACCAGCGAACCCCCGGCCCAGGGAGAAGTGAAACGTGTGAACTTAACCACCGAGCCACCAGGCCAGCCCCTCGACTTGTTCTTATTCCCAGAGGCTGGGAATTTCTATATGCTGAGCACCCAGGTACCCCAGCCCCCAGAATCCATGTATTTTATGGCTCCCCTCACCTCCCGCAGAGAAAAGCACAGACCAGGGGGCCCCCAGGAAGACCACAGCACACTGTCTGAAACAGCAAAAACACAGAAACAACCTAAACGTCCATCCACAGGGACAGGAATAAAAGGGAGAAAAGAAACCATTTATTCATACTACGGAATACTACACAGAAGATGAAAAAGAGCCAGATCTCTATGGAGCAACATAGACGGACGTCACAACCCAAATCCGGAGTGAAAAAAGCAAATGAGCAGTCTGGAAACATCTCTGCACCGAGCTTCCAGAAAGCCCGACGACGTAGGAAGACGAATTCATTTCTTCACAGGGAAACTTACTTGTTGCCCTTCTCATTTGCTTTTTCCTTTTTTCCAGGCAAATGATTGAATTCATGGTTTTAAATTTCACCTGAGAAGGTGTCTAGTCGTTGAAGAAAAATATCATGAGCTTACTGTTTGGAAATTTAACTAAGATGTTGTTTGAAAATAAAAAGTTTCCAATAAATTTCTGGAATTTTCAGACACTCTGCTTTAAACACACACACACACATACACACACACACACACACACACAGCCCTGTATTATCTATGTAAGAGCAATTTTAAAAACAGCTGGGGAAACTGAGGAAATATGTCAACTAAAGGCAGCGTGGCACGCTCGATTGGATTCTGGCACAGAAATAGGACATTAATGGAAAAATTGATGAAATTCAAACAAAGCCTGGAGTTTCGTTAATCCTAACAGACCAGTGCTGGTGCTTTAGTTTTGACAAACGGCCTTGATAATGCACAGTGGGTTACAGTAGATAATTAACAGTAGGGGAAACTGGCCAAGGTATCGGGAAGTCTTTGTACGACGGTTGAACTTTTCTATAAATATAAAACTAGTCTAAAATAAGAAGTGTACTTTAAAAAAATCTGGAAGGTTCCTCCCATGCTTATCAACAGGAGAGGTCCCGAATTGTCGGAAGGGTGGCTAAAAGGGCGTCAGTCTTATCTAAAACGGGATAAATATTTGTTTCAAGCCAAACGTATTCGGCTACTCCTTGTGCAATTCAAATTAATGGAAAACACGTTTCATAAAGAGAAAAAGGCCTCCTCCCTGATCGGAGGTGTATGAGTTTTACTTTTTCTCCTAAATCGCAGGTTCTCAATGGAGCAGGAAGCCGAGATGCACCCCGCGCGGGCTGTGGGGGCTCAGGGGAGTGGAGACCCCTTTGGGCCCGAGCTTCTCCACAGGCAGAGGGACAGAGCCAGCCTCCCCAGCCCCCTCACCCAGGTCAGGGATCCAGTGGAAGGCGGTTCCAGGGCTGGGAGGACGACATCCCCAGAGCGTCTGCCCTCCCCGGCCTCAACGCTCCCGTCTGCGAGACGGGGTGAGGAGCAAGGCTCCCCGCAGGGCTGCTGCGAGCAAGCAGGGCTTGCGCCCCCAGTAGCTGCCGGATCCAGGCAGAGGCCGCTTCCACCCGGGTCACAGCGAGCCTGTCCACGCACCCACTCCCCACCCGCAGACCCTCGGCCTCCCTGGAACCCCCCGCAAGTCCAGCCCTCGCGCTCCGGGCCCAGCGATGGGTGATCAGCCCCCCGGGACCTACCCAGGGGGTCCTCGCCCCTTCCCGCGCCGCCCCTCTCCACTTGGAGCCCTCTTTGCGGGGTCGGGGGCTGGCGGGCCGGGGCGGGGGCGGCGGCCGGGGACACTCACCGCGCGCGCCGACGGCTCAGCAGCAGCAGCAGCAGCAGCGCGGCCAGGAGCCCGAGGAGCACAGCCCAGGACATGGCACGGCCGGCGGCGAGGCTGCGGCGGCCGAGCGCGGGACTCCGCGGGGCTGGCTCCGGGGCCCACCCAGGTGCTCCCTCCGCCCCGCGGCCGCCCCTCCCCGGTCCCTCCCCGCCGGCCGGCCCGCCGAGGGCGGGGGGCGGGCCGCGGAGCTGTCCCTGGTCGGCAGAGCCCCCTCCCCTCCTCTCGGGCGGGGACAGGCCCCCACCCCCTGGGCCAGGGGGCGGGGGGGGGGGCGCGGGGAGGGGCGTTGTGGGATGGAGGCGGAGAAGGATGTAGGGGGACGGGACGGGAGATGTAGGGGAAAGGCGGGGTATGTGCAGGGAGGGATGGGGGGGGGGGGGGGGGGGGAGGGAATATCAGGGAAGAAAGGATGATGGGGAAGGAACCGGAGTATGAGGAGGGCAGGGTGACCTGGCGGGAGAGGAGAGAATGTGGTGGGAGAGCAAGAGGGGCCTTTCCACCACTTTCCACCTAAATAGTCTCCCCCGCCGAGGGCCCCTGCTCATCCCGCCCCAGACCAGTTAGAGGCCTTGAGATTCCTAGCCTGTTGGACCCGGCTGGGTTGGGGGGCTGGGCTGTACCGCACCGTGTATTACCTTCAATAACTGTAACGAAGGGGTAAGAGCCACTGGGGCCTGGGCTCCGAGTGCCCGTGTCGTCAGCTGCTGTGAGGGACAGACAAATGAGTGTAAAGCGCACATCCCTGTACCTGGAGCATAGTAGGCTCAGGGTTCGGTGGCCGTTGTCGAGATTGCCTGGTGCCTAGGGTGCCAGCCTCCTGTGCAGGTGCCTCTGCAAGAGAGCACCCTTGGGTGCTGGGGGAGAACCTGGGCTCCCAGCTGGAAGGCCTGGGCCTCACTCCAGGCTCACCACTCCCTACACCCGCCCCCACCTGCCCCCATTTATACCCTGGAAAGCGGGCGCAGGTAACTTACCCTGTCTGAGACCACTTCCTTACCTGGGGACAGACAGGGCCCAGCTGTACTCCCCCCGGGGTTAAGAGGAGTGGATGAGAGCTGGTCAGTAAGAGGAGGCTGCAGACGATGGAGCGCTTGGCACCTGTAAGTGTGGTGAGACAGCGGGCAGAGCGTGGATGTGGAACCCAGAAGGTCTGGTTCTGATCTTGTCTCTGGCTCGCTGCTGGGCGGGCCTAGGCAGCTTTCATTTCGTCTTCCCAACAGCCCTCTCAAGGAGCCCCATTTCTTCCTGGTCTCCTGGCTTCTGCCCTCATCCCACTACAGTCCATTCTCCCCACGGCAGTTGGAAGGATCCTGCTGGAACCTAAGTCAGATCCTGTAACTGAACCCTGCTCAGAACCCTCCATGGCTCCACCTCACTCAGAGTACAGCCCAAGTCCTTGCAAGGCCCTACAAGGACCAGCATGGTCTACCCCCTCCTGCTTTACCTCTCTGACCTCGTGTCCCCCTACTCTCTCCCTCACCCACTCTGCTCCAGCCACACTCATCTCCCATCCTTCCCCAAATGTGCCAACCATCCTCCTACCTCAGGGCTTTTGCACTTGCTATTCCCTCTGCCTGGAATACTCTTTTATTGGAGACTTGCACAGCTGGCTCTTTTTGTCACTTCCCTTGTCCTTCTGTCTCTGCTCAACGGTCGCCTCCTCAGAGAAGCCCTCCCTGACCGCCTGGTCTAAAGCAGTCACTTTAGTCACTCTCTAGTGCCTTAACTTGGTTGTTTGTTTGTTTTTGATAGTACTTAACATTTCCTGCTATCATATTAGAGATTCATTTATCTGCCTGTTTAATGTCAGCTGTCAAGGCAGCTGGATGGCCTCGTGTGGCCTCAGCAGATTGAGAACATTAAGAGGCAAGAAGAGCTTCCTGAACCTCTTGTTTATTTATCCAGCTTATTCCCCGGCAGAGCCAACAATCCCAAAAAGGCCAGAGGACAGGCCTGGAGGATTTTCTCCAAATTTGGGGAGCCCCAGGGGGCAGCCTTCCGTCAGCAGGAATGGGGCTGAGTTGAGGAGTCAGTGACCTAATCCGGGTGACACTCAGCTCCGGGTACCTGACACACAGTGAGCGCTGGGGACAGTTCTCTGCCGTTAGCGCTTGTTCCAGTGTGGCCTCTCACCGCGTGTGCGATCCGGGCTTGGTCTTGGTTTTCTCATCTGAAAAATGGGAAAACCAGTTCCTCCCTCACAGGAGTGTCATGAGGACGGAATCACATGATGAGAGGGTGAAGTCACCCAGCACGGGGCCCGGCACACAGCAGGTGCTCAATAAATGTTAACTCTTCGACCCCACACCCCTGGCTTGAGTTCACAGTGGTGTCACCTCAGTTCAAATCTCTCCCTAAGAGCATGTCCCTCTTCCCCCACCAACCCAGGGGCAAAATCCCCCAGGGAAGGAGACCAGCTGTCCACACACCCAAGAGACAAGAATGTGTTGGGGCCCCTGGCTCCCCCCTTGCTGACAGAACCCGATTTTGTTCAGGAATCGAGCAGGTGTTTTGGAAGACGGTCCCTCTCTGCTCCTCGGAAACCAGGGAATGAGCCGCTCCTGGTCTGAGCCAGCCTGGGAAGTCCCTCTTTGCCAGAGATTGGTCTGAGGGTGGCCGTGGGGGTGCCTTCTGGACATCTGTTTGGGCCTTCTGGGACATTTTGTCCTCCCTCTTGCCTCCTTTTCTTTGGGGACCATTGCGTGAGGACGTGATGGTGGGAGTGACGTGAGGGGAGGCCAGGAAAGTCGCAGAGCCCCAGACCAGAGCTGCAGAGTAACCGTCCCTGAACCGCCTACCTCTGGACTCCCTGCTCAATGAGATAATCAAATGTCTATGTTGCTCAGAACCGTGAGTCAGACTTTCTCTTACTTGCGGCCAAAAACATTCCTAAGACGACCTTCCAGTTACGTCCATGGTAAGGGCTGTATGAGCTAACACTGCATCTGGAGCACCTTTCCCAGCGCCAGCCGTGGCGAGCATCCAGAAGGGTCCGTTCGTCTTATTATTCTTAGTTTTCTTACAACTCAGCTTTTCGACATTTATCAGGCTGACTGGACGTCCAGCCCTGGCTGCGGCATCTTGCAGAAACAGGAAGGGCTCTGACAAGGCAGAGATTTCAAACTCCCCCGACCCACGTGGACCGACGGGGTCCTGCTGAGGGCGCGGACGGTATGGCCTCAGGAAGGAAGCTGAGGGAAGACGACCCTGGGGGTGACCCCTGCAGCCCCTGGTGAAAGGGCTGGAACACACAAGGGCTTGAGTCACTGTGTGACCCTGAGCAGGTCGTTTGCCTCTCTGAGCCTCAGCTGCCTGATCTGTGCAGCGGGCGTGTTGCTGGGAGCGGTGATGGCAGGGGGTCGCCTGGCAGGGTTCAAAGCCTTCATCTGGGAGGTGCGGACTCTCAGGAAGTTCCTCCTTCCGTCCAGCTCTGCTGGGGGCTGCCACCCAGAGACAAGAGTCCGGACATTGTCCTGTAGGAGTCTCAGTGTGTCCAGATGTCCGCTGTCCAGCAGAGACAAGACATCTGGGCCACTCTCCAGTCCCGCCCAACCTCCGCTCTCTTATCTGGCTGCTGTGGAGTCATGAGGATAATGTCAAGACCCGACTCCCTCAGAAAATGGGGGACTTTGTCTGGGAAAGCGCAGCCCTTTCCAGCCAGCACCCGCACTCTCTCTCCCCAGGGACTGGGTCTGGCTCATGTCTGTATCTGAAAGGCCACAACAAATTGTGTCAGGAAAGGAAACCGCAAAGTGTGTTTTCCTCTTCAAAGCTGAAAGGCAGCCCCATCAGAGAGGGGCAGTTTTAAACATTTTTGTTATTATAGTTCTATCTTTAGTTGGTAATTTATGCCATTTCAAATGCTTTTTCCTATTAACTCATCTAATCCCCACAAGATCCTATAAAATGGGTACTATTGTTATTACTGATTCGCAGATGGTGAAACCAAGGCCCAGAGAGGTTCAGTAGCGCACCCAAAGTCACACAGTACTTCTTTTGATAGGTTAGAGCATGGGAATCTGATGCTCTTAGAACAGGCTAGTTCTCTCCCGCTCCCCCCACCCCCCGTGTGGTGTGAACGCACCCCAAGCTTTCCCACCTCCACACCTTTACTCTCGCTCTTTACCTGCCTGCAAGCCCCCTCTTTCTCTTCCTTTTGGTTGATCCAAATCTGTTATGGGGAGGTGTCTTAGTCCAAGTCCTCTGAGAGAGCCAAGATGAGATGAGACATACAGGAGATTTGTGGAGGAAAATGCCGGGGTGGGAAGTGAGCAGGGAGCCAGAGGAGGCTGGAGAAAGGGAAGGAAGGAAGGATTGGTTGGTTGTAGACTACAGTGCAGTTCTGAGAAAGCTCGGCAAGGCTGCCAGGAAGTCCTCAGCCTCCAGAGGGGTCCTGTCTCTCTGGGGACTGGGCCTGCTCAGGATCCCTGCGCCCTCTGTGATCAACCGGGAGCAGCCCCTGGGAAGCGCGGCCTCCCCTCAGCTGTGAGGTTGACGCCATGGTCAGTCTGTCAGTTAGGCTCCAGGCAGGAGGCCTGAGAAGCGCATTCTCACAGCCGCTGAAGTAGGGAAGGACAGATGCTATCTACAACCACCAAAAAAACAACAGCGCTGACTATATGCACCGCCATAGGCACAAACCTTATCAGTGCAGGAGTAAATTCTTCCACTTAGAGAGGGGGGAGGGGGAGGAGAGACCAAAGCTGCAAAATTTCTGTATTTTCTGTGCTGCTAAAGAGAGGGCGGCAAACTCCAGTCTTCAAGCAAGTCCGATAAGTGAATGAAGGGAGCTATCATGTCAGGGAGGCAATAGGGAGGAGTGAGGACAGTGGAAAACTGGAGAATGCTGCTCCATCTGAAAGGCAGCTGCCTCCACTCAGTTTGAGCCAACTGTGGCCATGTAGAAACATATGCCCAGTGTGGCCAGGGCTTCTGATTCAAAAGAAGCTGGCAGTAATGGCTCCCATTACTTTAAAACACTGTGTAGGCCAACAACACACTTCTGCCACCTGCTTTCGGCCCTGGAGTCCAGTTGTGCCAAAGCCCAGTGGCTTAGCCATTTTGGGGGAAGGCAAAATACGTCTGGAGTTGGCATGTTGAACTAAATTGCCCTGTCGAATTAAGGAAGG